ACGCAATCTGAAGTGCTGTCAGAACTGAGGTGGGATTATATAGTAACATAAGCAACTACTAGAAGAGTTTGTTCATAATCCTGCTCTGTAAAGAAAGAAGGTGTATTTATATTAAACCTGAATGCTGTTAGTGGAATACCCCAAGTGTAAATGAAGGCTTTCACCAGGTCACATGAAGAGAGGCTTATCATCTGCAGACAAGTTCAGTCTAGCCGTTGATTGGAACATAATGAGACTCTGCTTCAATGTACCAATTAATGATTAATTAAAGTAGACAAACAAGTAACATTCAAGTTCAATGCTGTTTTCATGCTTACCAAGGCCAACTCTTTGAACAGAAGCCATAATGGCTTCAGGAAACTGCAGCAATATCAAGTAATGTACAATGAGTGTAACCATGGATGAATTTAAAAGCTAAATGATCACCTGTTTTTGGGTGCATGGAAGCAGTTATTTCAGTACTGCGGACATAAAACATTGAATGCTATTGCAATGATTGTGCACATATTATGCCAAATACAATTTTATGAATGAAATCGAATATTTGAAAAAAACGTATTGCACTTATTAGCCTGCAGTTTTGTTTTAAGCAGTTAGTCAGTTAACTTTCATCCTTTCCACCATGGTAATATTCCACACTTCATACAGAAAATAAAAAAACAAAATATATGTTTATATAAACGAGCACAAAATGGCTGTCATGATGTAATGTTAAAAAGAAGAGGAAATCTGTTATTGCAAGTAGCATTGCTGGAATTCAATACTAGCACTTGAGAAGTAGACAGCTGTACACAAACATCTGAAAAGATGAAGACTAGCACTGGAACAACTTGAGCAACATCACACGCGACAGCAACACCACATTCACAGAGCAACAATGTACAACAAATTCTCCCCAGCAGCAGATAGACACTCAGCCATCAGACAGATCTTCCCTGCAACCCTCTAACATTGTGTAAATGTATGCCCCATGTCCTTCCCGTATCCACCTGAAAGTACTTAGCCATCAGGCTCATCTACCGTATTGGTACTTCTCAATGTTCCCTACCTCACCCCCTTCCAAATACTTACTGATCTGGTTTATCAAGGTTACCTTGTTTGAAATATGTCACTGTTCACCCTCATATGCAGCTCAGGTTGATACTCCACAGGGAGTTGAGAAAACATCATCATGACCACCATCATCATCATGACCGTGTCTCTTCCTTAATGCTGTGTTGTATACCCCAGTCCCTTCTACCAACCAAAAATAGTGCATGTAGTTCAACATACACTGAGTGGCAATGTATGCTATTTTTCTGTAGGGACAAAGCAAAGCTACTGACTGGAGATCCACACAAAGGCTTCTGATAAAGACCCATACAGAACAAGTTACAGTAGATAGTATATATCCTCTCATGAGGAGATGTTTTCTGATCACTTCCCTGAACATGCATACACGACCCACTGGTAGAACAGAAAGCTGAACACACATGGTGATTGCTGTATACGAGGCATTGTCTTACATCAGACACATACAGTTATCATAGTATGAACACCAAGGCATGCCAGGGCTAGATATTACAACAAACTACTTGGTATACTGCAGCACTTCATCACCCATCTTCAAGCTACTATGATATATACCCTTGACTCAATCGCTACCATGGCTGTGTTCTGAACTCTAAATGAAATAACTCTAAATATAGCCGTCCAAACATAATGGCTGACTGACTGACTGAGTTTTGGTTTTACGCCACTTTTAGCAATATTCCAGCAACTTCACGGATCACCAGAAATGGGCTTCACACAATGTACCCATGTGGGGATTCGAACCCGGGTCTTCGGCGTGACGAGCTAACGCTTTAAGCACTAGGCTACCCCACCGCCCCCAAAACATAATGGGAGAGTGAGTGAATGAGTATGGTTTTATGCTACTTTTAGCAATATTCAAGCTGTATCATGGCAAGGGGCACCAATGAGTGTCTTCACACACTGTACTCATGTGGGAATCGAACCCAGATCTTCACCATAAGGAGCAAACTATTCAACCACAGAGCTACCCCAGTGCTGCATGAATGGAAGAAATTCAGTGCCAAGAGACCGTTCAGAAGATGCTGATGTCACTATGGCAACAATAGGTCCAGGGTATATATCTATAAAACGCAGATATCCTTCCCTGGATGACTGAGGATGGTAATGACTGCGCTCCAGCACTGCCAGTAATTAGGAAGAATCAAAACACTTGTAAAAACATTTCCCCTGATATCAATAATCGATGGAAAGACCTTGCAGGAATTGTCAAACACTATCAAAACAATGTTCATGAACTACCAGTAATATGATCATCAGAAACCAATCATTGTAATGCTGTACACATCAGTGTCTACCATAGGTATTTCTAATACTTCATAAGGGATTTCATGATATACGTATTATCCAAGATGGTGATACAGAGTGATATGACTGCTCTACTGAGCAGATAAAGCAAGAGTTATAAAGAGAGATATGTGTTATTTCATGTGGGTATGATGGCTATATACAGTATAAACACAATACCATGTCTGTACAGTTATAAGCACTACTCGGAGAATAGATGAGTCGTTGAAAGCAAAAATAAACTGAAATCGAAAAACTTTTCCACATATTTAACTTTTAAATACACAGAGGCCTTGTTAACTCAGAATCATTTATGAAACAGTGACTTATGGAAAATAGGTTTACACCTCTTTTAGCTCCATTCCAGCAATATCTCGATGGGGGAACGCCAGATATTAGTTTTTCTACATGAGAGAAGTCAATACAGGCTTTTAGCCTAATAAGCTAACTACTAGGCAACCCCACGACCAAGTAACTTGATGGGTCCCCAGAACCCATATCATCTTAAGGTGTACTGTCAGTACAGTGTTTGCCCTCAAAGAATAAGTCTGGTTACACCCCTTCTACAATTTTTCATTTACATTACAGCATGTCAGAATGATGTGGGAGGAGAGCTTACAAGTGATACAGGTCTTCGACATCTACCGCACATGGTGCTGACAACCTGGAAACAACATCGGGGTGAATCTGGGATTTGAAAGTATGCAAATAGCAGTACCATGGATGACTGGGCCCCCTGCCCCCTGATTGGGATGACTGGGCCCCTGCCCCTGATGTACATCCTGCCCCAACTCTGAGCTAACAAGGTTTCTGTGTACTCTGTATCACAGTCATGATATATGGACTCATTGCCAATACCTCACCGGCTTGTTTAAACTACGTTCCTCCATCACTCACAAATACACCAGCCAATTGTGATGCTATAAAAGGTATTAACCAACAAATTCAACAAGGGTCTGGTTCTTGAGAAACACTACCAAGATCAAGGAACGCTAAGTTTTCATCACACAAATACCAATGTGTCTAACTTGTTATTGTGTCAAATTTATGTCATTATATATTCATTTGACCTTTGTGAATTACACTCAAAACTCTTCATTAGCTGACCAAATGTGACAAATGTCATCTGTACTATGTTGCACTTTGGCCCAGTGTATTTCCAGGTGATGAAGGACACAGTAAATACAGGCCCTGAAGCACTGACAATGGTATGAACTAACTCTATGCTCTGTCTCTGGTAGTACACAAATGCCACCAAGCCCTATACACACTCAAGCTGCTTACAAAATCGCTGTCATTGCTGAAAACACCACTCTACTATGCAATAAGAGTTTATATACAATACATATTAACACTATGAAACACAGACTGTAACTGTGATCTCAGTAATACATGTATTCAAGTTACAATTTCATTATAAATTCATGCTACAAAAGTAAACTTTACTATAAATATTACTGTTAATTCGTACATGGTAAAATGTAATCAACTACTGTATAAAACATAGTGGTAACATTCACTGGTATACTAAAAATGATTTCCATGTTAAATATTGTAGTGGCATGTACTGTTTGAGTCTGAATTTCATGTCAGGTCACAAATATTTGTTTCAGCTACATCCTCCAAGGTAAATGAGATACTAGCATACATACAACTAGTCTACAATAGCACCATCACACATTACTAGTTTTATCTTGCGTTGTTCATACAAACAATGAAATAGTTTGTTCCACTCAATTTCAACTGCTTTTTAACAGGGCTGTAACAATGACCAGACTGTAATACTTTCTGACAATATGTACTATAAGGTTATGCATTGTAAAACACAATACATCAAGGATAGACACAACTACTTGTTTGTTAGTCCAAGACAAGTAATAATCTAAATGGACAAGTTGCTTTTTCTCAATACCAGTTATTTTACATGACCACTAGTCAAATATAATCTGCTGACAAGTCCGATGTGAACAATGTGTCTACCCTTGAAGTGTCATTATATCAAGTGGAATTCAAATCCATTAAAAAAAATATATCACTTTCTGAATATACAATGGGAACTACATTTTTACTTTGGTTATTTGTTTTAGATCTTTAGTTATTCAATACACCACCCAAACATGACCAAAGTGCAGCGACTTTTCATGCATCGTATTACACTGTGCTTTCAAGACCAATACGTATTGTTACAGCCCATTGACTAACACTTCCTCAGCAAACAAGAACCTACGCTTCAAATACAAATCATTTCACAGAAAAAATTCAGGTAATTGTTTCACTATCTTGAAGCATAACTAGACATCTTGCGTATATTAGACATCTGCTGAACAGACAAGTATAAAGGACTGTACGTCTTAACTGTATTAAAGACAAGAATTCTCGTCCAGACACATTCTACCTTGAGTCATCACAAGAGCTACGTTTCTACATCTTTGGTTTATTCACACATACTGTGGACTGAATGTCTTGAAAGATGCTGCTAACCAGGACACTGCTTTTACATTTGTGATGAATGTGTGCGGGTTATCTTTGACAACAGGGATAGAGATTTTTAAGGAATGTTCCGTTCTTTCAGTAACGTTGAAAAAAATACCAAAAAAAACCCATGTTGGTTATTATTCCACTTAATCAACATAACTTACCTACCAATAAGACTAACCATAACAAAACACAGTCACTTAACAATTATCTAAATCATCATCATCATCATCATCATATCCAACACACTCATTACACTGCAAGATATCTGAAGACACTATATTCAACCTTGATGGCATCACAGAAAGTGCATCACACTTCTGTAAGCATCAGATAGTTTCTGCATGAGCTGAAGATTAATATTGTTTGATGGTATGCTTTTGGCGGATTTAACTTCAGTTCCAAGATATATCTACCGGGGTAATTAAATAAGTGATCCTTCAAATGGCCAAATTGGCTCACATAATTTATTTACTACACAGAACTCACACTGAGCAGACCATTGTGACTTCATCAGTTACCATGATGTCACAATAAGATGACATCACTAATCTCTCTGCCACAAATCTCATTCAGTCGTATGTTTTACACACACCATTTATAACTACTTACAAACTGAACAATTTGGAAGAATGACTTTGATGATAAATCAAGGCTCTTGACATTAAATACCTCATCACCTGTTGATAAGGCTATAAACTCTACTATCAGCTTATATTGTGGGATTTCAAATCAAAACACACAAGGGTGAAACTTTCTATTTCAAACTATTTACATCCTAGCAAAGATTTAGGTCCATGAAAAGTTGAATACAGTGTTTCAGTATCCTGTTACACAATGGCTCTGCATAATGCTACAATATCAGATTTATTTGCAAAGGTTACATGTTTCATGTATCCTACCACAATACTGTACCTCAATACTAACACTGCAACTCCCCACTAAACTTCCAAATAACTGTTCCTAGTTGTGTAGATAAGCTGTGGGAGTTATCTGCCCTGATCTGTGTCTGGCAGTAGGGGGTGCTGTATTGCATGTGTATGTGCATATTGGAGCCTAGTTGTCAGCTAACGTCATCCCTCCGGAATCATGTTCACAAAGCTAACTGGAAACAGTCCTCGCCGCCCAGGGTGGCCTTCAACCTCTCCTTCCTGGAATCAGCAAAATACGTTTTAAACAAACAGTGTTCAACTAAAGTGAAAAACATGACTAGTTTAAAATGAATCTTAAAGCAACACCATGATGATTATATACCAAATTTCCTCTCCCTCACTAAATACTAAAGTTTACTGTCATATAACATTTTCTGGAAGCAGTCAATATTAAGCACCCAGCTTCTAGTATTTTTAGTGTAAAGTAGACAAACAATATTTTGTGAGGATATTTGAGTGTTTTTCTCTCAGCAATAAACCATCACATCAGTCAGTATAAGTCTTGGCATGGCCAATCAGATTCTCTGTCTGAGCTGCACTCTGCGATATCAGAGCATGATGAAGCACGGTGTATCCATAAGCATTTGATCCTCAATCGACAGATCCTATTACAAGTATTATGTAGTTCATAAATCATATAGGGCGGTATACAAATTTTGTATAGTATTGATATTTTTTGGTATATTATATACTTGGCACCCAATTCTGCCAAATCCTCAAATGTTACATTGTCTGCTGTAGTAGGTCACTTGATAACCTGTCCGGATCAAGCTTTGAGATCAGGTGAAATTGGCTTCACACTCATGGTAAAAGAAAGAGTGTGTGGTTCGTGGTGTGTGTGCGTGGGTGTGTGCGTGCATGTGTGCGTGTGTGTTTGTGTGCGTATATGTCTGTGTTTGTACTAGTACAGATGCAGGACATTTTTTAGTGCAAGCCTACTGTGACACCATTCTAGAGTTTACCAAAGAATACTGAGTCTGAGACAACTAGTCCTTGTTTTTTAGCCTAAATTCCTGGCAAGGTCGAACAGTACCATCTCCAGGATCGAGGTTCTACGTCCAGTCAACTCTATTCTTGTCATGAGAGATTACTTATTGTCATAAACTACTGCTGGTACTGGTGTGTAAACTCGAAATATCAACCACTGGTGTCTCCAGTAATTATCATTAAATATCATTACATAATACCTTGATATTCTTGAATGAAAAAGTTCAAAATTCTGCACCATGACCCCATACTTACCCACCACTCTTCCTCTTCCTCCTTCAACACCAAGATTATCTCCCCTTCTTTGAAGGTCAGTTCATCATCATTGTCAGCATCACAGTCATACAGAGCCCGACATCGTCTGCGGCCAATGGAGGACTTCCGTGTCTGCAACATAGCAACATTGTCTATGAAAGGAACATTCATCAAGGGAGACAACTGCAGAATACATAAAAGGTATTACAGCAACAAACAAAGAGTCTAATTCCCTTTTAATCAAGTCAAGTGTGCTGTTACCTTGAGTGAAGTAGAGACCAGGCGAGCTATTCTCGAAACGTTTGTAGCCCTACAAACTTCTTAAGCACAGTCTTAACACATTGGCTACGATCAAAGTTAAGAATTCTTTTGGGCTATGAACGTTTCGAGAATAAGGACCCAGGGCTTGAAACTGTTTGAAACTAACATCACACAGATAAGTGATCACAGATCCAGACTAAGTCAACATGATTTGACAAGAGACCTGACGATCCTCGCATGGCCAAGGATCACACACTCTGCGCCACAAGGTGGCCACACACTTGTCTCTAACTGCCCCGCAGTCATAAACAGTAGCCTTGTTGATAAATGTAAAACCATAATTTCCTTTATAAAATGTCAATACACTCCTCATTATATGCCATCATGTTCCCAATTATCTTCATGGAAATGGGCTGCACTAAATGAGAAAAATGTTGAACATGTTGAACATACCTACAGTCTTTGGTTGGGGACAGATTGGACTCACCTTGAGTCTGGGGTTGGGACAGATTGGACTTACCTTGAGTCTGGGGGACAGGTTGGAATTACCTTGAGTCTGGGGTTGGGACAGATTGGACTTACCTTGAGTCTGGGGTTGGGGACAGATTGGACTTACCTTGAGTCTGGGGTTGGGGACAGGTTGGACTTACCTTGGAGTCTGGGTCTGGGGTTGGGACAGATTGGACTTACCTTGAGTCTGGGGTTGGGGACAGGTTGGACTTACCTTGAGTCTGGGGTTGGACAGACTTACCTTTCTAGGGACCCTTGAGTCTGGGGTTGGGACAGATTGGATTTACCTTGAGTCTGGGGTTGGGGACAGATTGGACTTACCTTGAGTCTGGGGTTGGGGACAGATTGGACTTACCTTGAGTCTGGGGTTGGGACAGATTGGACTTACCTTGAGTCTGGGGTTGGGGACAGATTGGACTTACCTTGAGTCTGGGGTTGGGGACAGATTGGACTTACCTTGAGTCTGGGGTTGGGGACAGATCTGGACTTACCTTGAGTCTGGGGTTGGGGACAGATAGGACTTACCTTGAGTCTTGGATTAGGAACAGGTGGTGGTGCAGCATCCCTACTCTCAGTCTCAGGTGGATCAATTGAGTGGCTTCTACCGAATCGTGCCTCATCTACAATGATTCATGTTCATCATCATTCATCATCCTGAGAAACAAGTCACCTTCAACAGAAAATCAGTGTCTGGTAGAAATGCTGAGAAATCGAGTGGACCTTGGACCTAACAAACTCAATTTTATCAAAGCGAAAGTTCATCAACTACCAGTTTATTTTAATGTAATGCAGTTACATAATTAGAAACAACCTTCCTCATTCACATGTATGAGCATACTGTGCGCAGCCACTGCCCAACATAGACCCATCTGCCCCAAGAGCTATTCAGAATGCCCACTGTCCGTCCAGTGTCAAGAGCCATGTCAAGATGTCGTTCAAAAATCATGAAGGATTACCTCTCTGCTTACCTCTCTGTCGATTCAGTGGTTTGGAAGGTCCACTGTAAAAGTAGAAAACAGGTTGAAATTACCCACATGAAATTTTATGAGATTTTGAAAACTCAGAATCCAGTTAAGGGTTGATGTTTTAAGTTTGTAAAGCTATTGAGCCCAAGTGTAATGTTAATTGTTGTTGCTAATATTTTTACTAGTGTGACTCACCTCTTGTCACCATCTGTCTGCATGGGCAGCACCAACTTGGCACCTGTACCAAATAATGTTCATATGGTGCTATATTGATGATAATATGGATGCAAATGGGATCAACTTGTATCAAGGGTGGTTAGGTCTGCTTCTAAACCCCTAGCCTGGACTGAAGATAGGCCAAGTTTCCAACACTGACAACAGCAACAAACTGACTGACTGAGTTTAGTTTTACGCCGCCTTTAGCAATATTCCAGCAATATCACGGCGGGGGACATCAGAAATGGGCTTCACACATTGTGCCCATGTGGGGAATCGAACCTGGGTCTTCGGCATGACGAGCCAACGCTTTAACCACTAGGCTACCCCACCACCCACAACAGCAACAAAGACTGACAATGTTCAAAATGGCTACCAAGACTTGAAGCAAAGTTGCCATCAATAGATACCAGAAATCAACAATTCCTTACATCATGGAAAACAACAACCAACAAATTACTGAACAAGCACTAATGTTAATCAACCAATTCTTCTAATCATCATGTTGTATACCTAACAACAGAACCATCCCACCTATAGTCAGGAATATCTGGAAATACTGGAAACACTAGCTCCCTGACGAGGACCCTCATTGCTCACCTGCAGGGATATTGATGGTGTTCCTGAAGTCGGGAGGGGCTGGTCTTGGAGGAGGGTCAGAGGCCGTACGTTTGTGTACAAGATAGGATGCATCTGGCTCTGACCGGTTCCTCACGTGACCTGGAGCTGGTGACGTTGGGGAAGGGGGAGGCGGAGGCTTCTTACTCCGGGGCGGCAGCGGTGGCAGGCTGGGCCGACTTTGAGGCTGCGGCGGGTCATGTGACTGCTGTATGGGTGGAGTAGTCGAGGAGGAAGAAGACGAGGTGCTTGTTCCGTTCTGATTCGACCTCCCTGGCTGTTTGGAGCATTCAGTCCAGGAACTAAAGCAGACACAAAATTTTGGTAGGACGACAGTACTGTTAAACTTACAACCACTACCGTTTCTATTCATATAACATTACACTAGCTGGTTACTACTTTGCACCATCGTTTATACCTAGCAAGTTCTTACCACATTGATCTCATCATATTTTGCAATAGATGTAAGCGCCCAAGATGAACATATCCGCTGAGGCAGAGTCATTCCTTTAGCGCTGTATATTCCCTTGTCTAGCAACCGTTTAGGATAAAATGTTAGGCTGCATCTCTCCCGGTTGATACTTGATGTCAAATTTAAACACTAACATTGTGTAAACAAGTACCACCTTTTCTGAATGTTTAAAACACCTAGGGCGGCAGTAACCAACCAACCAACCAACCAGCCAACCAATCTTAGCACTTCGTGGAACAGTGCCCAGGGCACTTGCAGTGACTACAGCATTTCTCACAACAATGAGCATCATGCAGCCCAACTGTATAGCTCCTTCATCAACACATATGCTCCAACAGTGCTCTACACTACGGTGACCTAGCGCACAGGAATCTCAAGGTTGAAATAATTAAACTGTAAGCGCTTTCTAATTATCTAGATTCCTGTGCCCACTAACACAATTCACACACACATCAACACATGTACACACACACGTACTACACACACACGCATGCACACATGCACACACACACATGCACACACATGCACACACTTGACATTCCAGACAGTGACAAAATCATGAAACTAAAACAAGAAGACAGGCACAAAACAAGATATTTGCATATTTTCATAAAACATAACTTGTACATAGAAAACAAATAAAACACAAAAATTCAAAATTTAGCATAACCGCATACAAGACAATCTCTACAAAGAAACTGAAACAAGGCTGAACCAACTTAGGGCAGACTCTCACTGATACTGGCTCAGTCTTCCTTCGGCTAAGATACATATTTCAGGTTAACTTTGTGATAATTGGGACCAAAAGCTGGGTTGTGATTTATTATGATATATTGTGGAATATTGATATGCTGTCTATATTCACATATAGATTTGATAATATTCAAGTGAGAGTGAGGATGGTGTGTTATGCTCCTTTCAGCAATATCCCAGCAATATTCCAGTATTTTCTCTGGGAGGGAATGGACTTCTTATATTGTATGCATGTTTGTAATTGAGCCAGGTAATTCCATGTCATGAGGGAACACCCAATCAAAAAGACCACAACCAACGGATATAGGAAAACACATGATAAGAATCAGGTTTGGACAGTCATGAACACTAAGGACAGTAGACAGCAGAGCGTATAACTAAACAGAACCAAGAACCACATTAACTTGGCAGAACTAAAATAGTCAAATGAAAACAAACATATCACAGCCACCATGTTCACTTGTGTGAAACCAAACAGTTAAAGATACAAACAAACTCTTCATAATAACACATCATTAAAGCCATATCTTCTTAGAGGAACGAAAACAGTTCCCGATACAGACGAACACATCATTACAAACACATCCACTTGGAAGAACAAAACAATTGTTGACAGACAAACATCATTACACAGTATCCACTCATTAGAATGAAGACAGTTCTCGATACACACGAACACATCACCACAACCGTATCCACTCAGTAGAACAAACACAGTTCTAGATACAAACAAACATATCATTTAATCCGTATCCGTTCAGAAGAATGAAAATGGTTCAGGAAACAAAACTTCACAACATCCATATTCGAATGGTTGCCTAGCAACTCGAATGCCGGGAGTGACTAGCATGCAGGTAGAGTGTTAGCGAGTACTTACCATGGAACCGGAACACTTCTGGCAGCCATAATAGAAAGGTTAGTATAGTGATAAGTGGACGGCAGATGTTGGTAACAACACATCATGACCTAGCTGGGACTGACAACACCCATCTATACAACCTGTTAATGTCTAGATCATCCACATGATGCACATAGATAATATCCTGCCTGCTTTAAAGAGAAGCTCTGTCATGCAACAACAACATGACACTGGAGTCATGCAACCACAGCAACAACCTAGTTCAGTGTGATCCAGCGATGGCAAAGGTGTTCAGCAGCTGCTGTCTTGAAACAATCACAGATCTAAGGTCTGGAGAGTTGACCACAAAATCCATATAATGTATAGCTTTCCTTTAAGGACTGATTTGACCACCTCGTGATTATCCAAGTGAATCAGTTACAACATACATAGTCATCATACAAACATGCGCTTTCTGTACTAAACACCACAAAAGAAGGAGCAGGATTATTGGTGAACGATGTCAGTGCAATGGCTTGACCACGGGCTCAAATTGCCGGTAGGAGAATTCTCTAAGGAAAGTGTACACAACATAAAGGCATTGTGACTAAACGTATGTTAATACATCATGGCATGATATGGGGAAAATGGATGTTAAGGATCACAGGACGGTTCATGCTCAGCTGGGGTGTGACAATGCTGTGTCGCTACCAGATCATGCCTTATGGTTTTCAGGCAATCACAGCAACGTTTGTGCAATGACTCTTCAGTAACAAAATCATTAACATTCAAAACAATCAGGAGAATTGTAAATTTGCATTTTTACAAACTTGAATTTAATATTTCCTTTCAGATCATGCCTAACACTGAAAGCTTCTTCTAACAAGATGCTTCAAAATCAGACAAAAAGTGGTGAAGTATACATGGAGCATGGCAGGTCAAGGTCATGCCTTGTCAATACAGGTCAAGGTCATGCCTAGGTCAGTAAGGGTCAAGGTCATGCCTAGATCACTTACCTGACTTGACCTTGTTGTTATTGTGGCGATATTTACTAGGCATAGTGATATACTCTACAATAAATAGAGAGTAAGCAATGTTTCTGTGCCTTACAATACAGGGACAACAATTCAACGCATGTATATATATATACCAACTGCAGAAGGGAATATAAGATTATAGTAACTGCAGTGTAATATATGTAGATATAACATCAGCAGTTGGGAATACAATGGGATAGTAACTGTAGTATAACGTATGTCGATATACCAACATCGCATGGGAACAAGAGGTGATATCTAAAACACTGATAACAACATGATGACTAAAACTACTTTGGTTGACACAAAGGATGATGGACAAGTATTGCTGCACAACAGTTACATGCGATTCTATAAGATCACATTGCTGAATTCCAAGACAAGGCATTCTTTCGGGCACGAGCCATGTGCTTATGCCTGATGTACAGATGTCTCTGCATTGAACTAAACATGTTCCAGTTATGTTAATTTCTGAAACAACTTCTCAACTGAATTGTTTGAGTAAGGCCTCAAGCTATGTTTAGTAGTATCCCAGCAATATGCCTTTGAAGGAAACCAACAACTTGAATGACATACAGCAAAATCTTGTGAATCAGAAAACTGGTCACACAACAACTATTTTCAATCCCCTTAGTCGGTTTAAATACCACATTGTACAGGTTTTCAGTTTCATGATAGATTGTAGTCAGCTACCAAGTTAGTGAAACCCAGCAGAACGAATTTGACATTGACAGACATACATTTACAAATGGGGTAAATGTAGGATTCAAAGTCAATCAGCAGATCCTTGCAAAGCCAAGGGACACAATTTGTGGTTCCACAAATGAATGAGACACCAATTAGCTTATGCGCAACAAACAATAATGTGTAAATGTTGCGAGTGTTTTCTCTTCTACATGACATCCCAGAGACAGGAGTAAGTATTCTGCTGTTGACTTACTCCTGAAGGTGATAAAAAAAAAATAGGGCCAACAACGGCAGGGGCTTTACACATAAACTGGTCATACAGTTTCCTATAACTGAAGGCATATAGACATGTAGATGTAGGCCAGACTCACTCTTTGGTTTGTTGACAGCCGGTGGTGGCGGAGGAGGCAACTTGCCGCTCTCAGAGTCTAACCGGTCTCGAGATGAGTGGCCATCTTTGCTTCCAAACAGTCCTGTGTCTGGAAGGACAATAAGACTAGGCGGCCTTGACCTTGGTTTCTGCTTGTCCGGTGTTCCCTGAAAGAGTGAGGTACTTAATTCCATTAGAAAACCAATGTGGACACCAATCTTTGAATGCAGCTCACATTCAGTGTTATTTGGCATAATGTGAGTTACCAGTGAAAATACAAGCCATCTACTTCCATTTACAAAATGTCACAGTGAAGCCTTGAATATCTATCTCATAAATCAGTGAGTCGACAGTGTTCCAACAACATCGTGGTGGTTTACAAATACATATTTCTGGAGCAGATACACCAGTGGCAGACAGCAGGGTCGGGCCACAATACACAATCAGACAGGCAGCAACTGCAGAACTATGAATGTCTTAAGATTCTGGAAAGTACAATAAGTTATGTTTAGATAACAAACTGTGTTTTTGTCCCAGTCAGTTGCTGTATGTTTTAGTCGAAATGTATATACAATGAACTGAAATTAGTGGTCCTTTAATTTGGTCATAGCCATAGTTTACTGTACGAGAGTTATGATCACCTTGTTTACAGGGCCCTGTCTATACACTGTAACCACTCAATGCCACCTGTCTCACGGAGAACCTATTCTGGGTTCATAAATCAGCTCATCCTTATGCTGCTGTATGGTGTCATGTTAGGTGTTCGGGACAAAAAAAGATTTCTGGAATAACCCCACGGTGCAAGAAGAGAATAGCTATAATCATCCTGTAAGTTTGCTTGTGTGGTAACTCTCTCTAAACTCAGCAATATTCCAGCTATATGATGTCAGTCTGTCAATAATCTGCACACTTGTCACACCTGTGTCAATATGAGTAAGTGAGTTTAGTTTTACGCCGCACTCAGCAATATTCCAGCTATATGGCGGCGGTCTGTAAATAATCAAGTCTGGACCAGACAATCCAGTGATCAACAGCATGAGCATCGACCTATGCAAATGGGAACATATGACATGTATCAACCAAGTCAGGGAGCATGACCACAGAATCCTGTTAGTTGCCTCTTACGACAAGCATGGGTTACTGAAGATCAATATTCTAACCTGGGCCTTCATGGGTCGTGTCAATATGAAACATAACAAACTGTCAACAATGTGTGTGGTAAGGTTATACAGTGACAAGAGATGCTGTCAACAAATTACATGACCTATGAGACAAACATGGCAGTGAGATGAACTGCAGTAGACATGAAGAGTAACAGCACATGACAGGAGAGCTTGCCCAAACAAACATGTGCATCAATGTCTGACATTGACAGTTGCCGATACGGGGTGTGCCAGGACTTGCACACACATACAGGTGAATTATATAGGATGGAGCAGACAATCCAGTGATACATATTATCAGTAAATCTGACAAACTGATCCATTCAGTCACCTTTTGTGACTTGCAAGCTTCCTAGGCACCAAGCTGGCCAGAACACTATATGCCTGTACACACACAGTTTGCTGTTTGAAATGTATGCAGTAGAACCAACCAAAATTACTGTAAAGCAATACAAAAATAACTTGTGCAATACGAAAAACACAACACCACAAATTGAGCAGATGAACTTGAATATAAGTAGATGATTTCATGCTGTGCTGACGGCTGATAGAGGGCATGTTGCAGCAACAGTCACTGGTGGACGGGTATCCATCTTGTTGACCAGTCAGTACCAGTTCTAACCAGTGCAAGAACACCACACAGTCATGAGTTTGTGATGATACAAACATCAGCAGATCATGTCAGGGTCAAGTGAAACCACTGTCCAAATGGGAGTGAAAGGATGGGGGGTGATGTGTGAGTTGGGGTGGGTGGACTGAAAGGTTGATGAGGTATGGGAGATTTGATAGGAAGCATAAGGGAAGGTGGATGTGGGTGGACAGATGGGAGAGGAGGGTGGATGGGAATGAGTGGCTGGATGGGCGTGGGTGAGTGGATGGTAGGTAGATAAGAGTGAGATGGAAGTGGGTGGGTAGATAGGAGCGTGAGGGTAGATGGCAGTGGGAGGGTAGATAGGAGCGTGAGGGTAGATGGGTGTGAGATGGGAGTAGGTGGGTAGATGGGCATTGGTGAGTGGATGGTAGGTAGATAAGAGGGGGGAGTGGGTGGGTAGATAGGAGTTCGTTGGTGGATGGGAGTGAGTGGGAAGATGGGAGAAGGTGGGTAGATTGTAGTGGGAGGATAGATTGTGGTGGATTGGAAGACTGGAGAGGGGGTAGACAGGAAAAGTAAGATATTTTGGATTAGGAGAGTTCAGAAGTGGAGGGTAGATGAACCAGGAGGGTGGATGGGGAGAGAAATCTGAAAGGGGAGATGGGGTGAATGAACAATAATCAGGATGGGGAGTGCAGCAATGGATGAGGAAGGAGAGGACGGATGGACTATTGGGTGGAAAGGTCAGTTGGGGTCAGTAACCTGGGTAGATTGAGGGTGGGGACTAAAACTCCCCCTTACTAACACATTGAACTGACAACACTTCTCTAAGTCACCGTCTGCTGCATCAGACACAACAGGTACATTCTTCCCAGTGTCTGGCCCTCTTCAAGAATGTGCACACTTGCGTAACAGATACTGCAGATTATTTCTATGTGCAGTGATAGACATATCCAAGAAGAAACATGCATACAAAGTGGTCCCTGTAAACAACACAACTTGTAACAACAATGTCTGAATAATAAACAAAACAAAACAAAATGCCAAGACTGATAGCATCCCAAACTGTACCATGTAAACATTCCACAATCTCCAACAATTTCAACACAAAACAGTAAAACAGCTTCCCATTCAGCTTACCAGAATATAATGAGAATTACTCTGTATTGAGCTTTTCTGAAACGTCAAGTTCATTGTTGATGGAGGCTTTGTTAAAATTCAATCACAAGTCATTGTACATTCAATTTAAATTCCAAAACCTAATTTTTTTAGCATCCAAAGTATCAGACTGAATATCAGCTTCTATTGCTGTCAAAGTTTTAGCAGACTAAAATATCAAATTCCTTGGTCTCAAACTACAAATCAGAAAAAAACTATTGAGACCGTACACGTCCAACAGGTACAAGTAAAACATCTGGCAATTTGATAAAACATCTGGAATGTTCAGAATCAATGTACTAAACTACAAGGGTAAAATATATGTCAGATCTGGATCTCACAGAATTAATTTCAGTTGCTACAACATTCACAATAAAACTGTAACAAAATCTAGAAACCTTTAACAGACTGACCACCCTGCACAGAGTGTATCATCTTCTAGAGTGTAAGGTATGTGCCAAAGAAGCAGGGCTAACATTTAACATTATCAAAGTCAAATGAGATGAAGAATTATTCACCAATATCAATTGTGATTTCTTGTAATGAAAACCCTTAGTAATATTTAACCATCAATTAAGGGCAACTAAACCTAAAAAGAACAGACTCCCCTGAAACCATTTTGTACATATTGGTACCAAGGACTTTATTATTTCAGGGGGCATTTTGTACTCTTCTTGTTCCAAGAATACACAACTATAGAGTTTCATCAGTTACTCATTAAAACAATTGCTTTTACTAAACATTCACTAAAATCAAATTCTTCTTCCTCTGAGAAAATATAATTATAACTTTTTTGTCCACATGGAAAGAATTAGCAAATAAGAATGTTTTAATCACATTCATAATAATCAACATTATTTCCCTTATAATATTTTGATGAAGGGAGACATTAATGTAAGACTGACTTCAAGGTGAATCTTTGCCAGCTACTTACATCCAAGTCATCATCACTGTAGTCCCCATAGTCATACAGCCGCTCCTCCTGCAAGCAAACACAGGCTGTCATTAGGCTGATAAAGGTAAAGTATTAGGCTGATAAAGGTCAAGTCTTTCATAACCGTAAAAAGATACCACTTGTACAGGTGTTTCAGTAATATCACTGACTGTCTGCCTTAGTGAGGGAGTGTGAACAGTCTTAGGCCATTATTAGCAATATATGGTTGAACAAGTGAAATTACTGCTTACTAGAAAGTATACTTTACTCCACTTTTAGCAATATTCCAGCATCACAGTAGTGGACAAAAATGGATCCATGAGTGGTATCAAACCCAGGCCTTTGATGTGAATGAAGTGATGTTAGCACTACACCTATCTAAAAGTCAATGATTGTTTTCTAGTATGGTTGTTGACAAATAAAGTAAATTAGGAATAATATCTTAGCCTCACATTCATTAGGTCCCAGTCCACATTGACATAAAGAAATTGGTCCTTTTTGGCTGTCAGGGCTGACTTCAGCTGCAAAACAAGACTCACAATTATCAACAACAACTAAATGTAACCTGTATACTGCTTTGTAAATACATAATGAACAACTACAGTTAGGCCAAAAATGACAATATTAAAAGATTTCATTCCATGAAACATGTATTTGACTTGTTTTACACTTTATAAACACATCTTATCTCCCTACCAGTTCAGCACAGTGGTGGTTGTTGTGTTCCTTAGCTAGGTCCATCGCTGTTTTGCCAGATTTGTTCTCAATATTAGCAAGGTCTGGTCGAGTCCTCAGCAGAAGCTTGAGACATTCTGTTCTGTCAAGTTCAGCACAGAGATGCAGAGCTGTGTTTCCCCCACGAGTCCGCTTCTCCAGAGAGCCTCTGTCAAACAAGGAGTGGTCAACATTTACAGGTATTCTCAAACCAGAGCGTCTCCGTCAAACAAGGAGCAGTCGTCATTTACAGTTATTCTCAAACCAGAGCGCCTCTGTCAAACAAGGAGCAGTTGACATTTACAGTTATTCTCAAACCAGAGCACCTCTGTCAAACAAGGAGCTGTTGACATTTACAGATATTCTCAAACCAGAGCGCCTCTGTCAAACAAGGAGCAGTTGACATTTACAGTTATTCTCAAACCAGAGCGTCTCCGTCAAGCAGCTGTCACAGTTGAGCAGGAGCAGTTGACATTTACAGTTATTCTCAAACCAGAGCGTCTCTGTCAAACAAGGAGCAGTTGACATTTACAGTTATTCTCAAACCAGAGCGCCTCTGTCAAACAAGGAGCAGTTGACATTTACAGATATTCTCAAACCAGAGCGCCTCTGTCAAACAAGGAGCAGTTGACATTTACAGTTATTCTCAAACCAGAGCCTCTGTCAAACAAAACAAGGAGCAGTCGACATTTACAGTTATTCTCAAACCAGAGCGCCTCTGTCAAACAAGGAGCAGTCGACATTTACAGTTATTCTCAAACCAGAGCGCCTCCGTCAGCCTCTGCCTCTGAACTGGGGACTGGTGGGAAGGAAAGAGGAAGAATGAGAGATAGAGACACTGACTCAATACCTATACACTTACATTGCACTATTCTGTATAATGAAGTCTACAATGGGCAGGGATGATCCATCCTCCTCTATTATTGCCAGATGTAGTGCTGTCTCATCATTCTCCTGCAACACAAACATGGCCGTCACACACAAGGTCTTGACACACTGTGACTAAATCATGTCTTACAGCACAGTCGGTTACATCACAACCTTAAAGGCATGAAGGGCAGACCACACAAAACAACAATTAATGTAAGACACTTAGTGGTGGATACAAAGGGGAATGTCAGGGGAAAACAAAACAGCGGTTACATCGTGGGCCCCAGGTGTTAACTCTCATTCATTTTGATTACACAGTGCCATTTAGAAGGTGAGGTGAGGTGAAATTGGGTTTAACGTCGTGCTTGAGAATATTTCGCTCATATGACGACGTGCATGCGTGTGTATGTGTATGTGTGGCTGCTTGTACTAGCCCAGACTGAAGCTGGTTTTATAGTGCTGGCCCACTGAGATACCAAGCCGCAGTGAAGCATGAATACCCCACTCAGACACATTATACTGACTCCGAGCCGACCAATCCTTGTTGTACCCATTAATGCCGAAGCGTCAGGCAGGGACCAACAAGTACCATATTTTAACGTCTTTTGGTATGACGCGATCGGGGATCGAACCCGCGACACTTCCACTCTCCGGGCGGACGCTCTAACCACTACACCACGGAGGCGGTCCGCCATTTAGAAAGTGGTCAAATATAACATATGTCATATTTGGGATTACACTTTCTTAGTAAAGTACAGATTCTAGTACTGTTGTTGTGTTGAATCCCATCTGGGATTCGAACCCACCCCCTTAGAGTCAGGCACCTAATCGCCAGTACACAAAGTCAGCCGTCTAACCCGCTCAGCCACCATTCATGTAAACAGTCTATATTTTACTCTTCTCTGAAAAATGTACAGGGGATTTTAACACCAAGTTTGTCTGTAGAACAAACCCATCTCTAGCATACCCACAAATTGATCTCATAAACATCTTCCCACAATGTTCAGTCTAATCTCTGTGTTCCAACCACCAGTTTTTGTTCAGTATGACCTCATGCTAGCTCCTTTCCACCAAGGGGTGGTGGGGTAGCTTAGTGGTTAAAGCGTTGGCTCGTCACGCCAAAGACCCGGGTTCGATTCCCCACATGGGCACAATGTGTGAAGCCCATTTCTGGTGTCCCCCGCCGTGATATTGCTGGAATATTGCTAAAAGCAGCGTAAAACTAAACTCAGTCAGTCAGTCCTTTCCACCAAACACTCAAAACTCCCATACTTCGGCATAGACTTTTGACAATAAGAGCACTAAGATAACTTCAAGGAATGGGGCCCTTGACAGTGATTTAACACTGACCTTCAACACAAGCAACTAACATCTAAAGATGACAAATGTTTTCTTGGCCAATGAATGGATGGAAAGCAATGAGACCAGCCAGTCATTTACACATCAACACACAAACCAGTACCAACCAGACGACACTCACCATGTCTGGGAGGACAGCCATGAGATCGAGGTCTTCAGCATAGACCTGCAACAAGGCCAAGATGTCCTTGGACAAGATGGCCTGTCGCAGGTCCTGCTTCAGGTCGTCCTTGTCTGTACACGTGAGTATTGCATACCGATGGTGCTCGTACTTGGCTCGTATGAAGTCGCGTCTATCATCCCTAGAGAGACAAATCAGGTCTTCCTCAGTCAGTGATTTGACATAAAAAATAATCCTAGTGTTATTGCAATCATTATCAGTTTCCACCTCACAATATGAATTGTGAATGTTTTGCTAAACCAATCCATTAAATCAGTTCTGAAAATATGTTGTGGATTTTACATTGACTTTACATGACTTGAAAGTGTAAAAATTTACTGCTTTGTGAAACTGCCTGTCTTGCTGCATATGAATGGTGTGTATGTATGTATTATATGTATGACAAATGGTTCAAGATCATCACATCTTGATGAAACAATAACTAGTAGTACTCACATATGACTAGAAGGTTTTGGCTTTTGAGAGGGGTCAAGGGTGGCCTCCATAATATCATTGAAGTTGGAGTTTCCTACTACTCTTGCAAGCTGGAAAATAAGAATTGTTATAGTAACAGAGGTTTTTATCCCATAAAATCAAATGCCTTAGAATTGTTATGCAAGGTTTACAGATCCAAACACTTTAAAAAAGACAATGCAAAAAATGTGAGCAAGGCTCACTAATACCCAGTGACTACCAACTTCAACTGAACAGCATATATATTAATAATGATCAAATAGATTTAAAGTTATTGGTTGAACAAAGTTGACGTGGGACTCCAAAGAGTTCAAAAGATGTAATTTGTGATCATTCTTAATTAATGAGAATTATCAACAACAAAAATTTGTACTGGTTCTCTCCTATAGATATGGAGGGTGATTACAAATTTGAAAACAATCCATTCAAATGTGTTCAAATTATTGCTTGAACATAAATTCCCATTGGTTTTAAAGTTCAAAATACATAAACTGATTCAAAATCTGTTACGTCCTGGGTTAACTTGAAATGAGACTACTAGACTTGTGAAAACAACACCAAATGAACAAAGAGGTCCAAAACGGTAAGTCAAGTCAACAATTCAACAGCTTTATGAAAGTCAACTTGTTTCTTACAAGAATGTTGAGCAAACAATTGAGTGGTTATGTGCTGACTTATATACACCCATTACGACCAGCCAGCTCACACATAGTAACTGACAGATGAAAACCCTCCAAGACTGTAGTTCTATCCTGCCCCAGGCTCCCTACAGTAGTATAAAGGACTAGTATATGATCCTACCAGTAGCTGAGAGGTTCCAAGCTCATCTATGACGATGCTCTGTGTGCGGGAGACATGGACGCCCATCTGGCGGTGAATGCCACAACACTCTAGGCAGATCAACACCCCAAGGTTGGTCGACAGCCATTCCGGGTCTGAAAATGTCCGTAATTCAGTTAATAGCATAAGTACAGATGAGAGTATCCAGCAATAAGTTATCACAGAGTATAATTCTGATATACTACCTCTACTATATCATAGCCAGTACTCCTGTAATTTGACTAACATCACACTAAGACATTTAGCAGATCATGTTGCATATAGGTGAGGGGGACTCGCCATTCATTTGAGTATGGGGTACCTCAATATGGATATAAACATGGCTCATGCTGTGCCTTAACAAGATAGTGTCAGTTCCTCCCAAGAGGTAAGCAAGATGATAAACGAACAAGTTGGAGAAGTTGCCATATTCTGCGCATCTGGTTAGGTGGAGGTGTGGTAGAGTCAATATTCAGAAAATGCATTCACAAGTACATATAATAAACCTTACATATAATTAGAACAAACATATTGATAGATATATCATTGACACCCATTGGAAGCTAAATTAGTACTGATGTTAACAAAAGATATAGTTTGCATAAAATGTGGATGGGATGGCTGACAGTGGGGAGGACGTCTATGGAAAATGTACAGAAGTCTTAGTGTGAATATTTGCTATGATGCAGTAGAGTTAGGGTTTTCAAAAGAATTATGGGCTTCACACATAGCACTGACTGCTTAACTGAATGGTTAGAAAACTGTACTAAGCCTGGTACTGCTACAAGAGAGATACCTGGTGCTCCACAATCACAGCAATACTTGTTCCCCCGGAAGTCGCTTGACTCGGTCGATAATACTGTTTGTGAGCTCTCGGACATTCTGATTGAGAGACGGGGAATTGCTACTGTCCTGGAATGCCTTCAGTAAAACCTCTTCTTTCGCATTGTTTAATACTGAAATCCAGCTGAAATAATACAGAAAGAGCTGACTCAGACATTATTCTATGATCCACTGTGCTGAATAGTCGGTGACAGTTGACATGTTTGAAGTAGAGATTACTTCATCAGTACAACATCTATAACGGCTTGATAACCCAAATCCAGATTTAAAAGGTAATTTTAACATAACACTAGCACAAGCAGAAATCCGATTTGGTGTTAACTGATCAGGTGATTCGGGTTGTGTTATTACCTTTAAGATAAATCTCTAGGAGGCCAATACATTAAATTCAAATGCAGAAAACATAAAGAACCCTCAGAACACCATAAATTTCTTCTACTGATGAAAAAGCTCTTAATGCTTAATGAGATAATGCTTTTCAATCCGACAAAAAGTTTGTACATACGCCTCCATATCCTTAACATCATCTGCTTGGAAGTGATATGTGCGATTATCTGAAAGAGCAGCAGAACATAATGTATGTGATACATCATATCTACACAATGGGCCAAAGGACTGAATGTCTACCCACATGTTGAATATACTGAAAGACAGATATGAACAGCTATAGAGGGAGGAATGAAACAGTTGATAACATCCTGCATTTACAATAAATGGACAAATTAATATATGCCAGGTAAGACAATAAAGGGAGATAATCAGAGTAAATTATGCCCCTTGCACCATAAATGATATTTGTGCATATCAATGAACGTCCATGTCAGGTACTAATTGAATCTTTCCTAAACATCCTCGAAGTGATGTTTATATACACCCCAATATTTTGACACAGGTTTATTCCGACTATTCCTGAGACTTGGGTTCTACTCACTGGAAGAGGAGACGAGGTCAAAACACTTCTTCCCCGGGTCGTCATGAACAAGCTGTCAACACACAATCACAGATGCAGTACTTAAACACACAAGGCTTGAGAATACTGCATAACATTTAATTTTCAATCTCTATGAAAAACAGCCATCTGAATATGTCTGTGCAGTGATGTTCACTTGCTCACCATTACCTGTATGAACCCAGTCACGATTGCATACCCAAAGAAAACACATACCTTGCACATGAATAAAAAAATACATAATTTCAGAATTTCCACAAGTCTTAAAGTTGACAAGAGATAGACACATGAAGTGTTCTTGAACAGACACAGCAATCTTAACAATGCATGTCCAAAGGAATGTAGGTAGTAACCAAAGTGTTTAACTTAGCATCCAAAAGTTGGTAACTTCCTAACCAAACTTATGTAACTCTTTTGTCAAAGCATATATATTACCAAGGTATGATAACGAATGGAATGCTGTTCAATGCACTTGGATCGAAAAGTGTACGGAAACTGATTCCACCCTCTGAACAAAAAGCTTAAAACCAATTCTACATTTTCTAATGTCAGATGCAGCTTACCTTTACTTGGCAGGTAAGAAGATTCAACTTCACCGGATCTTTATTTTCCTGGAAATGACAAATCATTTCTTATAATTCTGACTGCAATTGATTGTTATTGAGTACATGTCATGAAATAACCAATATGTTTCAAGAAAGTGAAAAACAAAGTTTGACTATGTCAGGGTGCCTGACCACTCACACAAGTTCAGTTTCTCTTACAAGCCAGATTACTTGGGACCTATACAAACCTGTTTGCTCCTGGGCTTTAGACGTGAAACACATAGTTTCTGTTTGCATGAAATTTCGTTGGATAAATGCTGCACCCAGCAATATTTAAGTCTGGACCAGATAAACAGATGCTTATCATTATGAAGAAATGTCTCATTCAATTGGATGACAAAGACTTGATTAACAAAGTATCAAAGCCTAATGTATCCACAAACTGTCTCCAACTATCCAAACGGGGGACCTGTTCTACCCAGCAGTGATATGGCAACTCAGTGTTTTAACTCTAATGGTAGAGCAATGCATGCATATTGAATGATACACAAGCCTTATCTATCCCTCAGTCGGTATCCCCGCACTCACATCATGATGGCTGATGTACAGGAGCCCCTCCTTGATGATACAGCGGCGCTTCTGCCACACTCGACGCATGCGGCCCTCACTCTTCTTGAGCAGGTAACCGGTCTTCTCACTGCCATGTATCTTGTTTCCCTGCAGCTGGTGCAGACTGTAGCCGGGCGTGGACGAGTTGGTCGTCGACGGCTGAACAGTATATAACAGGTGGTTGATACACATTATTGTAAGGAATTACTCCAACTTGTCGCTAGTTGTATCAACCAGTGACTTCCACAGTAACACCCCAAAACAACAGTCCATAGCCAAAAGCACACAGTCAGAACAACACATGAATGGTGATATCGATAAATAGATTGTTAAACTTAATGCCCTATGCTTACTGTGAATGAAGTTGCAGTTGTATGTCAAGACTGAAATGAGGGATTTCAATGGTTATTACTGGAATACAGACATCAGTATTGTCACTGCTGAGACAATCTGACTTAATTCAACCTTTCTTGCTGTAACACATGCTCAGATACTCTCTCCCAACTGTTCAACACTCATTTTATCTTTTGAATTAATTCTTCTATTAGCATATAAAACACCTGATAGGCATTTTCAAGTGAAATTAAAAATTGTATTAATAAAAAAACCTGAACACATCAACATTAATTTTTAACTGATGGAAAGAAAGAAATTCATTAGCAAACTAAGACCTTGCAATACACAATTACTATGAAAAACAAAGATGCAAACAAATATCCTATTTCATGAAAGTTTCATTTTGTTGTTACACAGCTGTCACACTTAACACCAATAAAACAATATCAATCTTTGAATCTGATAAGAAACATGCATGTCTGTCTCCTTCCAAATTGTCATTGCGTATTTCTTTGTTGTGTAACACATCACTCAGCAATATTCCAGCTATATGACGGCAGTCTGTAAATATTCATGACCAGACAATCCAGTGACTGACATTATCGTTCTCCGCAAATGCAATACAATGACATAATCAACCATGTCAGCAAGTTTGGAGAAATATACTTCAGACAAATGATGTTCTCACAATTCAGTATGACAAGCAGAAACAAATCATGCACAATTTATTGACAGAATCTCAAAAATGAGAATGAATTATCATGCCATAAGGAAAATCTAGATTCTGACAGCAGAAAAGTGGAAGTCAAGCAAACACTACATCATGAGAAGATCTGCACTTCACTTCATTTGCACTAACACAAGAATGGCTTCTTGAATGTTGTACATACCGAAGAAAAAGATACTATACAGATTAAAGACAAAAAGTCTCACAAGCTAAGGTTGAAACAATTCACCAGTGCATCCATACATCAAATGCAAACCCACGACAAGCAAAAACTTCATTTTGTATGTTACATGTATCTTCTCACAAACTGATACCAAGTCAGTAACTCAGTCTCAGAGGTGAACATCAGCACAAAATATTATTTCTACCGAAAAATGTTTTTCTGCTATGCTCAGATGGTGACATTTTTTCCCTTTACAGTGTATAGTGAAATATCATGACTTTAGTGAATTGTTTCATCCCTAAGCGACAGAGGACAACATCCGAGCATCTTATACCCAGCCTCCTCCTGACAACCGGTGGTGAGCATGCTTGAAATACGGAAACATTTGGGTCAGTCCAACACTAGGTGTCAGTATGTTACTCGTGGAAATATTCTGCACTTGTTGCAAAGTTAGGAATCTCTATTGAAACTTGACCTGACTGAACATGTCAAACTGTGAAAGCAAATGGAACCTTAGCGATGTTCTACATGTGGCCAAAGGACTAAGGCTATGTTTAATCTATGGGTGATATGATCATGTTAGCTCTAAGACCGCTGTGGGCCCAGGTTTCAATTCAAGATCCGCTAAGTCTACAATAATGTCTAAGGGTTATGATAGACCTTTCTCTCTGTTTAGTACTACATACAGATTGTTCATAATCTTACCTCAATAACTGAGTTCTCATATATCACAGAATCAGAGTGCTGCTAAAATATACCAATTTTGGTTGTAGAATTACCAAATTGACATTTGAATTCTAGAAGTGTTCAAAACTGTCTCAAACTGTTCACTCAAGACTTTATATTTTTGTGATCTGTCAAATATCACCTCAAGATCATCAAATTTTCTCAACAAGACACTCTCTTGAGTAGCCATTCCGAACACTTTCAGCAAAAGGAATTATTATCTAACATGAACATAGCTAACAGTATGTAACGTTGGTTACCTCTTTGTACGATGACATGGAGCTCTTGAGAGCATCCCGTAGCTCTATCAGCTGCTTGCGCTCATTGTCTTGTCTCTGCTTGATTTTCTTGAGCTGTGTGACCAGCTCCTCGATAAAGCCATGGAAGTGGTTAATGGTCTTCAGACCATCCTGGAAGAAACTGAACACAAGCATGGTGAACAAGTGTGTGGGTGATTAGCGTCTTAGTTAGCAACATTACAGAAATATCTCTTGGCGTGTAGCATCATACACTCATATTGTCTGTACTGACTTTACTACAGCATGGTACAAGACCTTCATTGTCTGCACTTACTTTACTACAGCGTGGTGCAAGACCTTCATTGTCTGTATCAACTTTACTACAGCATGGTACAAGACCTTCATTGTCTACACTTACTTTACTACAGCATGGAACAAGTCCCTCCCTGTCTACACCTACTTTACTACAGCATGGTACAAGTCCCTCCCTGTCTACACTGACTTTACTACAGCATGGTACAAGTCCCTCATTGTCTACACCTACTTTACTACAGCATGGAACAAGTCCCTCATTGTCTACACTTACTTTACTACAGCATGGTACAAGTCCCTCATTGTCTACACACTTTTACTACAGCATGGTACAAGTCCCTCATCATTGTCTACACTTACTTTACTACAGCATGGTACAAGTCCTCTCATTGTCTACACTTACTTTACTACAGCATGGTACAAGTCCTTGTCTACATTGTCTGTATCAACTTTACTTTACTACAGCATGGTACAAGTACTACAGCATGGTACAAGTCCCTCATCATTGTCTTCACTGACTTTACTACAGCATGGTACAAGTCCCTTCACTACACCTACTTTACTACAGCATGGTACAAGTCCCTCATTGTCTGTGGTGCACCTTCATTGTCTGTATCAACTTTACTACAGCATGGTACAAGACCTTCATTGTCTACACTGACTTTACTACAGCATGGTACAAGTCCCTCCCTGTCTACACCTACTTTACTACAGCATGGAACAAGTCCCTCCCTGTCTACACTTACTTTACTACAGCATGGTACAAGACCTTCATTGTCTACACTGACTTTACTACAGCATGGTACAAGCATGGTACAAGTCCCTCCTTGTTTACTACACTTAAGACTTTACTACAGCATGGTACAAGTCCCTCCCTGACTGTCTACACTTACTTTACTTTACTACAGCATGGTACAAGTCCTTCTCATTGTCTAACTGTCCCTTACATTTTTACTACAGCATGGTACAAGTCCTCACTGTCTACACTTACTTTACTACAGCATGGTACAAGACCTTCATTGTCTTACTACTGCACTAACTTTACTACAGCATGGTACAAGTCCCTCACTGTCTACACTTACTTTACTACAGCGTGGTGCAAGACCTTCATTGTCTGTACTAACTTTACTACAGCATGGTACAAGTCCTTCATTGTCTACACTTACTTTACTACAGCATGGTACAAGACCTTCATTGTCTGTACTAACTTTACTACAGCATGGTACAAGTCCCTCATTGTCTACACTTACTTTACTACAGCATGGTGCAAGACCTTCATTGTCTGCACTGACTTTACTACAGCATGGTACAAGTCCCTCATTGTCTACACCTACTTTACTACAGCATGGTACAAGTCCCTCATTGTCTACACTTACTTTACTACAGCATGGAACAAGTCCCTCCCTGTCTACACTTACTTTACTACAGCATGGAACAAGTCCCTCATTGTCTACACTTACTTTACTACAGCATGGTGCAAGACCTTCATTGTCTGTATCAACTTTACTACAGCATGGTACAAGACCTTCATTGTCTACACTTACTTTACTACAGCATGGTACAAGTCCCTCATTGTCTACCCTTACTTTACTACAGCGTGGTGCAAGACCTTCATTGTCTGTATCAACTTTACTACAGCATGGTACAAGTCCCTCATTGTCTACACTTACTTTACTACAGCATGGTACAAGTCCCTCCCTGTCTACACTTACTTTACTACAGCATGGTACAAGTCCTCTACATTGTCTACACTTACTTTACTACAGCATGGTACAAGTCCTTCATTGTCTGCACACTTTACTACAGCATTTAGTCCCTCATTGTCTACACAGCACCTACTTTACTACAGCATGGAACAAGTCCCTCATTGTCTACACTTACTTTACTACAGCATGGTACAAGTCCCTCATTGTCTACCCTTGTCTTATCAACTACAGCATGGTGCAAGACCTTAATTGTCTGTATCAACTTTTTACTACAGCATGGTACAAGACCTTCATTGTCTGCACTGACTTTACTACAGCATGGTACAAGTCCCTCCCTGTCTCCACCTACTTTACTACAGCATGGAACAAGTCCCTCATTGTCTACACTTACTTTACTACAGCATGGTACAAGTCCCTCATTGTCTACCCTTACTTTACTACAGCGTGGTGCAAGACCTTAATTGTCTGTATCAACTTTACTACAGCATGGTACAAGACCTTCATTGTCTACACTGACTTTACTACAGCATGGTACAAGTCCCTCCCTGTCTAACCTGCTTACCTACTTTACTACAGCATGGAACAAGTTCCTCCCTGTCTATACTTACTTTACTACAGCATGGTTCAAGACCTTCATTGTCTGCACTGACTTTACTACAGCATGGTACAAGTCCCTCCCTGTCTACACCTACTTTACTACAGCATGGAACAAGTCCCTCATTGTCTACACTTACTTTACTACAGCATGGAACAAGTCCCTCATTGTCTACACTTACTTTACTACAGCATGGTACAAGTCCCTCATTGTCTACACTTACTTTACTACAGACCTTGGTCTGTACTAACTTTACCTTCATTGTCCTAATTGTACTAACTTTTACTACAGCATGGTACAAGACCTTCATTGTCTGTACTTACTTTACTACAGCATGGTACAAGACCTTCATTGTCTACACTTACTTTACTACAGCATGGTACAAGTCCCCTGTCTACACCTACTTTACTACAGCATGGAACAAGTCCCTCCCTGTCTACACTTACTTTACTACAGCATGGTACAAGTCCCTCCCTTGTCTACACTTACTTTACTACAGCATGGTACACAAGTCCACTCCATGGTACAAGTCTTTACTTACTTACTACAGCATGGAACAAGTCCTAACTGTCTACACTTACTTTTACTACAGCATGGTACAAGTCCCTCATTGTCTACACTTACTTTACTACAGCATGGTACAAGTCCCTAACTGTCTACACTTACTTTACTACAGCGTGGTGCAAGACCTTCATTGTCTGTACTAACTTTACTACAGCATGGTACAAGTCCCTAACTGTCTTCACTTACTTTACTACAGCGTGGTGCAAGACCTTCATTGTCTGTACTAACTTTACTACAGCATGGTACAAGTCCCTCATTGTCTACACTTACTTTACTACAGCATGGTAGAAGACCTTCATTGTCTGTACTAACTTTACTACAGCATGGTACAAGTCCTTAACTGTCTACACTTACTTTACTACAGCATGGTGCAATGCCTTTATCTTCTGCACTGACTTTACTACAGCATGGTACAAGACCCTCATTGTCTACACTGACTTTACTACAGCATGGTACAAGTCCCTCACTGTCTACACCTACTTTACTACAGCATGGAACAAGTCCCTCCCTGTCTACACTTACTTTACTACAGCATGGAACAAGTCCCTCATTGTCTACACTTACTTTACTACAGCATGGTACAAGTCCCTAATTGTCTACACTTACTTTACTACAGCATGGTGCAAGACCTTCATTGTCTGTACTAACTTTACTACAGCATGGTACAAGTCCCTAACTGTCTACACTTACTTTACTACAGCGTGGTGCAAGACCTTCATTGTCTGTACTAACTTTACTACAGCATGGAACAAGTCCCTCATTGTCTACACTTACTTTACTACAGCATGGTCCAAGTCCCTAATTGTCTACACTTACTTTACTACAGCATGGTGCAAGACCTTCATTGTCTGTACTAACTTTACTACAGCATGGTACAAGTCCCTAACTGTCTACACTTACTTTACTACAGCGTGGTGCAAGACCTTCATTGTCTGTACTAACTTTACTACAGCATGGTAGACCTTCATTGTCTGAACTAACTTTACTACAGCATGGAACAAGTCCCTCATTGTCTGTACTACTGACTGACTGAGGTTTGGTTTTACGCTGCTTTTAGCAATATTCCAGCAACATCACGACGGGGGACACCAGAAATTGGCTTCACACATTGTGCCCATGTGGGGATTCGAACCCGGGTCTTTGGCATGCTGTCTGTACTAACTTTACTACAGCATGGTACAAGTCCCTAACTGTCTACACTTACTTTACTACAGCATGGTGCAAGGCCTTTATTGTTTGTACTAACTTTACTACAGCATGGTACAAGACCTTCATTGTCTGCACTGACTTTACTACAGCATGGTACAAGTCCTTCATAACTGTTTTTTACTATGGTACAAGTCCCTAACTGTCTATACTTACTTTGCCTGAGCATGGTAAAACTCCACCAAGTACTGTAACAAGTCCACGCCCTTCTTGGTGCGGATCTCGTTAATCTTGATAAGATACTGAAACAAAATAGCGTTAAATATGAATATCTTATTCCTTATGGCCTCACTGGTTATATAGTCAAGGTGAATATATTTGTGTAATAATGAATGAATTTAATGATTAAATGAATATATAACCAAGAACTTGACCTAAATACATATATCTCAATATGACCATCGTTCTCCACAATGGATTAAGGACACTCATAATAAATCACTGCAGGAGAACACAGAAGCTGATCAATCAACAATCACAATCAATCATGGGACATCAGTTGAAGGTAGGGATCAGGTGGCGAATACTCTCTGCTCACACTCTGTGACATATACTGTAACCTTGTTGGTACAGAAATCCTAATGATTATCTCTGGAACGAATGGTCTGATGGGCATTTTTCAGAAGTTGACTTATGACAATGTAGACTTAAGCTTATGGATAGCAAGTCCTTTATTATACTTTTATAACAATGTTTGTTTGAACTTTTGTCATCTACATATAAACAAACGGCATTACCATTTTTGACATAATGAAAGTCCCACGGTGTAAAAAAAGCTGATAAAGACAGTAGTCATTCATATATTCCTTGTGTGCAGCTGTTTTCTGAGTAAATGCACAATTTATATTGGTCTGTTATGGTTGCAACCATAAAAGTGCTTACAGTCTATTGCAGAAATTTTCAGGGGGCACTTAATAGAGAAGAGCGCTCAATATGGCAAATATAATTGAAAATTTTAATATAAATTGTATATCTATATACTTATCCTATCTCACGGTATGCACTTCTGTCTCTTGATTCGACACTGAGTGGAACGATGTAAACTTTTTCCTTAGGCCTCTCTTGTCCATCCGCCCAAGCACTCCATGCTACCCTAATTATAAGACAGCTTCCTAGCTCTCATGCAAAGCATGCAGCATGCACCACTAGCTGCCCACGTGACTATCTCCGAATCATCATTCTCTTTCTTGGAGCCATTGGATAATATCCCTCTTGGAGAATCTGCATAGCTGGGAGGATGGGCGGGAATCCGTCGCGTGAGATAGGATGAGTATATAAATTTACAATTTATATTCAAATTTTCAGTTTTAAAATTATCCTATCTCACGGTATGCACTTATCCCACGGTCGGACGGCGGGACGCAGATACCCTGTGTCTTGACAGTGCCAACAGCAGGAACTGTGTAGACTGGAAACGACCATAGATAGCGATGCACAAGGGAGGCCTGTTACGCATGCACGCAACTCCTATGCTTGTGCCGAGTTCTCTTGAACTCCTTGGCTTACTAAGCACAACGTCTCCCAGGGAGATGGGTGCTCCCGAGCGATGTGGTGTTCGGTCGCAACCTCCGAAGAAGGACGCAGCTCAGCGAGAAAGGATGTCACTTCGCCACGATTTTCAAGGTACCCCCGTAAATTAAAGTTGGTTGACAATAATCGGGCCAGCCCCTGCTTCGAGAAGACCCCCACAGACACTGACCAGGGACGTGTGAAAGAGAAGCACAACTCGGGAACTGCAAGTTTTAATGTTCAGTTCCGGGACAGCATCAAATTGACCCTCACTCCTTTGCATAAGCTTAGTCAAAGGATGTGCCCGGCAACTTCAGAGTCGGAATGCAACGAAATCCACTGGAATTCGGGAGTGTCACACTTCAATGACGTAATTGCTCCGTGGAGTAGAGGACAGTAAGCGTGAATGTCAAACACCTCTGCATCGCCATCTTCCGATGCCTTGGTATGGAAGCCAAGTGAAGTAGTTCTTAAACCCATAACTTGAGAACAATGATTGAGATCCTGTTCAACTTTGTTCCGTATGTAGAAAGAAGCAGTAACGCGTAAGCGGAACGGTCCCTCAACTGGTGGGCTGATGTAAGCTGCCGAGGTCCGAACTAGTGTAGTCCCAGGACAGAACTAGTGTAGTCTCGCAGTTAATGTGTAGAGAAGACTGTATCTGAACGCCAGAAGCAACATTCCATGAGAGCGGTCAAGGAGCAGTTGTTACGGAAGGCCATCGTCGAGGCTAATGCAGGAGTCTCATGAAGATTGGTGGCGGCAACCCTGCAAAGTGGAGGTTTAAAGGATCACGCCACGCATTCAGAAAGTTAATGTGGCTCGGGAAACCACAGCTCTTGAAGCAGCCGACAAGGGTATGAAGAGGCGCTTTCGTAGCCAGCAAGGCAGCAAGGTAAAGGTGTAGAGCCCTAACAGAGGAGAGGGTCAAATCTTGAGTATCATCAGGCCCAAAAATGGACAACGGGGGTATGGTAAACATCCGGTCTGATTGCCCTGGCAGTTGGTTTTTCACAATGAAGTCCCAGTGGAGACCCAGGAAAAAAACTTGCCATGCTTCTTCGGCTCGAACCGCACATGATTGACAACAAGCGTGTGAAGCTCAGATATACGAGCAGCAGTAGCCATGCTACCAGGAAGAAGAATGTCACTTCACTCGAAGTCCCTGTCTTCTAAAGGTTTGAAGTCTGTAGAGTCACATAACGAAGGACAACGGACAGTTCCCAGGCCAGAAGTCTGAAATTCCTGGACTGATCGGTGAGTTGTAGAAGTGATGAAAACTCCAAAACCGAGTTGATAGCAGCCAGTTAGGTAGCTAACGTAGTACCCTTGAGTTCCCTAGAAGCACGGAGATGCTGCAGGAACGCAGAAACGACCTGAGTAGAGGCAAATTGGGCGATGGATTTCCCTAATGTTACAACAGCCTTCAAACTTCTTCCACTAATGTAGAAAGAACGGGTCGAATTACGATGAACTGAAGTGATAGCTGTGGCTACTTGATGAGAGCAGCCTTAGCTATGAGTAATCTCTGGAGATGCGCCAAGTGTAGATTAAGGGTCTGAGGAGACCAGAGGCGTAGTTCCAGGTGAGGGTAAACAGCAGGTTGCCCTGGTCGGGAAGTGGTACTGGGTTTGGCTCTGCCAGGCATCTTAGGTCAATCAACTAACTTCTCGCTGGTCAGGTCTTAGTGCACGACCAAAAGCAGTAGGATCTTGCTGGTGGTCAACAGCTTCTGTATTACAGATGAACACCAGAAATGGGCTTCACACATTATACCCATGTGGGGATTCGAACCCGGGTCTTTGGCGTGACGAGTTCGGGAAGATGAATCAGTTCCTTGGGATTGTCGGCCTAAAGGTACGGGCACAAAAAGTGCTGTAACGTCCGAAGCTGAATTCTGCACGTTAGGGCTTGATCTGACGTCAGAAAGCCTAGTAGCTCCTGCCACTGAGATAGCACTGGAGCAACACATCGCTAGATCTTCATCCACCTGTCTTGAAGGGCGAACATCATCCCTTGACTGGTGTCAAACAATGGATCGATGAAGTGGGGTTGTCGCATAGATATTGTCAATCAATCTACAGGAACGTTCACACTGTGCATGGAGTGATGAAGGTCGTAAAATCGGTGATCTCAGGAACGTTGGTTCGCCAAATGAAGTATTGGTCTGCCAGATGGAGTGATAAAGTTAGTAGATTCGACGCATGGAGATCGTCGATCTACTGAAACATTCATAAAGTTGCTGTAATGATGGAGGTACAAAAGCCCGGCGACGTCAGGGAAGGTTCATCTGGGACACAAAGGCAGTAAAATATGTGCCTGGGGACCATGCGAGCAGAACTGCAGTGACCTCTGAACTGAGGGCTTGGGCTAAAGTTGAAAGCCGATAAACTCTCGGTGAACTGTCTCTCTCGGCTGGCTGAAGAATCCCGACATAATCACTCTTACCGGGAATGACACTGTTCATCATCACTAAGGCTGGGACTGTTATCCGCTTGTAGGACCTAGACAGATATGTGAGTGTACTTCATAGTGACTCTAAATATCATAATTCTCTGGTAAACACAAGGTAGTCCGCCATTTGCAAATGGTACCCACAATGCAACAGTGACAAAAATCCGGACAACAGGGTCTTCGGTGAACCGTGTGAGGTACAACTCCATAACATCTCGGCAAGGGGATGATAGCTACTTGGCATCAGTACTGGTACCATGCACAGAAACTTGACCCATCTGTCCAGAAGCTTGCTGATGTAAAGGGAAGGCTGATGAAGATGACAAAGCAAGCCATGATTACACCATAATGCTGTAGTAGTTTGTAGTACCAGGACTCAGTGAAGCGTCGGAAAAATTCCTGGATAGCAAGCCTGTCTAGTAATGCACAGACGAGTGGTTGTGGAGCTGATATCTACACCAAAGGGTAGATTCATAACCAAATCATTCATCAAGGTGAAGATCGGAAGGCAGATAAATCTGGAATGATATGAGCTCTGGTCACGTAGTCTAAGTCTGGGAGATCAGGATCGTCAGAGCGTCAAGTGCTGGCGTAATCTAGATGTCTGCGCTACTGACAGAGCTACTTCATCTGTTCAATCAGCAGAAAGGGGGTACCAGGTGGGATAAGTCATGTGACTAAAATCTTCTAGCGCCTCACATGCCGTAGGGTAATCCGGAGAGCCAAGTCGAATGGTCATGCTTAGAGCATGCCACTCCATGGTGAGGAATACAGCGTATCACAAATGCCCTGAATATAAACATCGTGTTGAAAGCTGGTAGAGTTTAATTAACAGCTGGTATAATTGACCGTATCTAGATGCAAGGTCATGATCCTAGATGAGCATGTAAAAAAACAGTGTTGACAAGTTCCGATCCGTCAAGCTGAATGTAGTAAGTAGAGCATCTGGTATCTTGCTCAAGATAGCTATTGAGCAGTGAGTGAGTGAGTATGATCTTACGCCGGATAGCTGTAGCTGTAACTAAGTGACCATGTGTGTCGACTGAACCAACATTATTTCTGTACCTTAAAGGCGGCATGGTTCGACAATGCTGGCAATTCGGTGAATACTGATGGTTCGGCGAATCTGCGATCTGACACGGTTCGATGACCAGGATCGTTCAAGTGTTCTGCCACGGCGAGGTAAGATCTGAAACGATACTATGATCCGGTTCTTGTGCGGCGACTCGGTTTGGCCCGACTAGTTCGTTGATGAGCAGATCGATCTGGTTAACTAGTACGGGGATGTTGTAGTGAATCAGTTCGTGATGTGGTTCGAAGGAGATGAGCCATTCTGTGCAGAAGAATTAGTTCGACGATGTCGCCGCGAACTGGCCTGCCGAATCGGTTCAATGATGATACTTGGATGAGTTCAGTGAACCATGGGACGGCTAGTTAAGTCGAAAAACATCAATTCAGTGACTGCTGATTCGATAAATGCTGGTTGAACGATCTCCGGTTCGAGGAAAGCCGGTCTGGCGAATTTCGGTTCGGTGATGCCATTTAAGTAGATGCAGCCATGGTTCGTTGACGAATGCTAGTTCGTTGAAAGCGCATTCGGTCCCTATCGAGGGAGCAGACTGTTGCTGATTCCAAGCAGTAGTAAATAGCACTCAACATCGCAGCCAGATCTGGGGGAGGAGTAGTTTCCTGCACAGGAGTCTGGTACAATCCGAGTAGACTAGAGAGACGCAAGGAGGCAGGAGCCCCACCAAGCAGGTAGAGGCTGAGTAGATTGCTTCTTTAGAACCATAATGTCAAGGGAAAGAACGGAGCACGAGCGGAGATCGGAACAAGGAGGGAAGTATCATAACGAAGATGATCCCTGGATCTTGAACAATAGGCAGCAGTGAGGAAGTCCCATGCTGACGAAACCGATCCAACCACTCAGTGAAAGCCGTGAATGCAAACGAGTGAGGAGACATGACTGTAGGATCCAACAGAGTTCGGGGAAGTACACAGATGATTGACTGTAGGAGAAGAGTTTGCGGTGATCCGGTGAATACCGCTTGGAATAAAGCCGTATCGGTGAAAGTCGGTTCATTACATGCCGTTTCAGTGAAGTCATCCATTTCGCTGAACATTGATTCGACGAAGTTCGATTAGGTGAAGTCTGATTCGACGGGGTTCGATTAGGTGAGAGTCTGTTTAGAAGTCTGATTCAGAGAATGCCAATTTGATTAGGTGAGGTCTGTTTAGAAGACGATCGATCGAGAATGCCAAAGCGTTTGGCCTTCGATGAAGACCAGTCTAGTTCGGTGGAGGGGAGCAGACAGGCAAAGCTGTTTAGGCGTAACTGAGAGCCGGTCTAATTCTGGGCAGAAGGTGGACAGTCCGGACACGGAAGTCGAGGTAGAGGGGGGCGGACAGGCAAAGCGTAATCCGGCGTAGAGATCAGCTGATTCTTGTCCGAAACAGATAAGCCAGGTTGCCGAGATAACTGGTCAGGTGAACGAGAGACAGAGCGCAGTAGTTCAAAGGTCCCGCTGTGTAGAAGTCTCCTGAGGGGTGGTGGCAGTCTCGACAACCACTACCCAGGACGTGGTCGAAGACGAAGGACTCCGGCTGGAATGTTTAGGGCCCAACAAATGCCAAATGTCTTCCGATAAGTAAGAATCTGACGATGCTCTCATGAAATCCTTTTCATTCGAATCAGGGGACTGTGACCGCCGAGCAGACAAAGTAGGACGCTTAAACTTCCTTACTTGGAGGGACTGGGTCCATCAAGTGAAGCGGCATAACGAGCCCTGTCAGCAACACGACGAGCGCAAGCCCGAGTGTAGTCACCAAGTAAGAACCTTGCATTTATCGCAACGAGAGTCCTATTTACACTGTCCCATACAGTCAATACAATATCCATGTGGATCACTCACGGAGAACACTTAATTACACTGGGAGCATTTTTTCCTCTTCTTTGGCTGGTCAACTTTCCCCATGTTGTAGACTAAGGTGAAAACGTTGAGCAAAGTACAATACGTCCACACTCATGTGCGACAAGAAAGAGAATGATGATTCGGAGATAGTCACGTGGGCACCTAGTGGTGCATGCCGCATGCTTTGCATGAGAGCTAGGAAGCTGTCTTATAGTGAGGGTAGCATGGAGTGCTTGGGCGGATGGACAAGAGAGGCCTAAGGAAAAAGTTTACATCGTTCCACTCAGTGTCGAATCAAGAGAGAGAAGTGCAAGAATCAAGAGAGAGAAGGATAAGTTTAAAAATTATGTGTTTATGCAGAAGATCTCATATGGAGTTTGGTTTAATGTGGCTCCACTGTAAATGAAATACTGTCCAAAGCAGAATAAAACCCGAACTGATGATTAGTCTTTGAATACAAACAATTTTGTAAGAAACTCATAATTCCATTTAAATTGAAAAGGAGATGGGAAATTCAGAACCTGAAGAAAATCTTGAGTTCATACATTGTGTGTTTTTGCATAAGAGTAAGACCTGGGCAGTAGCTGAGAGTGTAATAATGACTTACCTCGCACATGTGGAGCTGGAAGATCTTCCGCTCTTTCTCCATCTCATCAGCAATCTGCATATAGGAAGGTTATATGCAACTTTCACAGGAAGAGAAATACAATGGAAACTTTTCAACTAGGTAAAAGACAAACTACTGCTTTCAAACTGAGTTTTTTAATGTACAAGCAATTGCATTTCAGTGTGAAACATTTACAGGTATCAAATGTACGTTGAATCCCCTATACAGAACAGTAGGGACATCTAAGCCATACCATGATAAACTAAATGCTAATAGAAATAGGAGATGGAAAAGGTGATGGTTGATGTAGCACAGGTTGAGTCTTGAATTTTGGGGTGACTGTCTGAGTAATTGTATGCAGTAACCATTATCAGGCTGTTTTCATGAAGCACAGATGCTCTACGTGTAAACTATTCTACAGAGGGCCACCTTTTGCTTGTGATTACCTTTGGTCAAAACAGCACTGTCACTCTTCAGCCTTCACATTAAACTGGGGCATTTCAAATGTCTAATTAACAACAATCATTATTTCACAAAATTTATAAACTGAGGTTCTTTCAAAAATATATTTGCTTTGAGAGAGATCACTTAACATTGTTAAATACATCAGGATGACCATTCAAAATGTTACATTTTAGAATGATCTGCACCCTGGGTGTCTAGCACATAAATGCGAGAATTTATGGATGTCTTGTCAACTTCCCCATTTAAAAAAACTTACGTTGACATCAATAAATTCTCACCTTCATGTGTATCACTTTTAAATGCTGTTCAAAGATTTTGCCCAACACATTTATTTGGTTAGTTTTTGTTTGTTGGCTACATCCCACACAATTTCAGCTATATCAAATGTCCCAAAATAGAAGAAGTAATGGCAACCAACACACTTCCTGGATCCAAACCAGGAAAAGAGAACCAAGTTAATGGTTGTTCAGTCACCCACTGCACATGTCATTGTATGTGTTTCTGTACACAAACAGAACTGGCCTAGCATATCATCCATGAATAGGTTAAAGAAAAGGAGGTGTGTACAGTTGGGAACAAGTCTTTTGAAGGACCTGAATAGGTTTATTGGTTCACATTTGGCAACAGATCAAGACAGCTAACTGTCACTCCAGTTGAATGCCAGCAACAGATCATGTGATCGATTTGATCTCTTTGAATAAATTAAAAAGTAGCAGTCGAGTTAAATGTTGGGAAAAAATCATGTGATTGCTTTGATCTCTTTGAATATGTTCAAAATAGCCATCTATTTGAATAGATCATGAGATCAATTTGATACCAACAAGAAGACAAAGTCATCAATATCCCCCGCATAGCTCAAGAAGAGCAGTCTAGTTAGGTAAGGAATGCGTCATGCAATCAGCCTCATGTGTCAATCTCAGTTTGTTCCATAGATATACCAAACATGACATAAAGCAAACCCACAGACAACTGTAAAATACCAAGCCTTTGATAAGACCACACACCTCTGCCCCTGAGACCTCCGTCCGGATCATCCCTGCTTCCTTGGCTTGCTGTTTTTTCTCCTTCTCAATCTTGGAACTAAAACAAAAATATTTACATATCATATTCTTGAACCTAAGTAACCTCTCCTGGAAGTTAACTACACAACACAACACAATCACATTATGTCACTTCTCAAAGGGAATCCCCTGGCTTGGGGTGGTGGGGTAGCCTACTGGTTAAAGCATTTGCTCATCATGCCAAAGACCCAGGTTTGATTCCCCACATGGGTACAATGTGTGAAGCCCATTTCTGGTGTCCCCCACCGTGATATTGCTGGAATATTGTTAAAAGTGGTATAAAACTAAACTCACTCACTCACACAATCTGGCTTGTGCTTTTGTTTTGTTATTAGGCGAAAACCCCATGTGTTTTGTAGGAAATGTACACAATCTACCAGGGACAGGGATGGACAGTCATGTGAGATGCTGCAATTCAGTTTTTGTAAACCTTTGCCACACTGTATACCTATGATCGTGGGATCGAATCCTGCTCTTGTCATTTAATGTTTCTCGGTTTGTCAGCACCACACACATGCTTCTGGGTTTCACCACACTGGTAAAGACCTACATCAGCTTGGTGGCCTTCCCCAACATCAAGCCGACACCTTGTGATATAACTGTAGTACAGTTCAGAGCAGAGTTAAATCCAACTCACTCACTCACTCACTGGCCATTAGATTTAGGCACTGAGCACTCACTCTCATACAGTAAAGGCCTTTCTCCTTATTACAAAAAATATATTCACAGACAATAATTTCAAATGCTTATTAAACATGTGATATTTCAAACCAGACTTTGAACCTACAGGAGTTAGCAGTTTGTGGCATTCCCAAACTACCTAATATCATAATGACACATCCATTTTAAGTTTTTTTTACATAATTACCTAAAAGCAGAATGCTGCCACCCACATGGAAATACACACAATGCAGCCACTCTTAAAATGCTCCCACCAAATAGTTTTAATCTGAATATTTCCCCGTCTCAACAAGATTATGCACCTTTCCACAGATTGTCTCGATGCTTTCCTGGACTGCTGGTTGCAGCCTACAGAGCGCTTCATGTTACACTCTTACATAACACCACCAGACTGCTACTACACCTGCCTCATTTCACTGATAGAACCATTCATACATATTTAACTCCCCTGACCAGCTTCACATGCCTGCTGACTGCTAGTCTCGCCATCATTCACGGCCTGCTCGCTGGAATAATCCCCTCTACCACAACGTGGTAATACATTTACGATCACATCCAAGATTGTTCTTTATGATCAATAGTTAATTGATATTGACACACATGGCGTATTATAGAGAATTTCATTTTGAAAACTGTTTGAGGCAACATCTGAAATTACATAACCAGATCTATGACAGAAAATTTCCATAAGATTTCATCTCTTTGCAAAAATTGCTCTCTCTTTTTTTCAGTTCCATCAATTCAGAAATTGGAATCAGTGAAAAAACTAGAAGTTGTGATTGTAATCGTAAGTGGAAATCTTATGACGAAACACGATGCTTACTGGCACAGGGGTTCAAAAATCGCCCTGGACAAGTCAGTTTTCATTTCGGGCAATCAAATAATGGTATCTTACTTGTCCATGGGCTACTAGATAATTTCCACTTATGGTTTCAAACCGCAAATAAACTTGGATTTAATTTCATATCTGCTCAAAATGTAGCTATTACATTTCGCAATGATAATAAAGTAGAGTTATCTTTCTTTGCTATTTATCACTTTTCAATAAATAGTCCAGTAAACATTAGCGTCAAATACCATGTTGATTTCTTCTTTTACATTATCATAATTATGTAATAAAATCAGGGCAAGTGGAAAATTAGTCAGGACAAGTTACTTTGTTAAAGTCGGGCAAGTGGCTTTTTAAGTGTTTTTTTAACCCCTGCTGGCCACAAGCAGATGAGTCCCTGTGATACATGAAAATGACAAAGGTGATACAGCTCTTGCCCTTATGGATGTACGTATCCAAGGTTCATGCGAACATAGAACAGAAAATTCAAAGCTTTTAAAGGCTTTTTACTGTCAATGTCAAGAATTTCTAGTTGGACTTTTAGCCTTAGTATGTCAATATATCTTTTTAAATATAGTATACTATATATTAGTAGAAAGACCTAACCAGCAGTCTGACCATGACAAACTTTCCAACAACCAACAAATACAGTAAACTGAATCATGCATACCGTTACTTCCATAAACAGGAGTGCATCAATTTGTATAAATACGAAGGCTTCAAATGCCATGTTGGTGATTTTCAAGGCTTTTCAAGGTTGACACTGAAAGAAGGTTCTTCAGCCTGTATCAACCTTTGCTTTGAACCATGAGTCATTGTGACAGAACCTTCTCCCTTCATAAACATGCGCAATATATTCATGAGACCCTGAAATACAGCCCTCTCCCTTCATGAATGTGTGTAACTACTGTAATATATAGATGAGACCCTGAAATACAGCCCTCTCCCTTCATGAATGTATGTAATATATAGATGAAACCGTGTGATACAGGCCTCTCCCTTCATGAATGTATGTAATATATAGATGAAACGGTGTGATACAGGCCTCTCCCTTCATGAATGTATGTAATATATAGATGAAACCGTGAGATACAGGCCTCTCCCTTCATGAACGTATGTAATATATAGATGAAATCTTGTGATACAGGCCCCTCCCTTCATGAATGTATGTAATATATAGATGAAACCGTGTGATACAGGCCTCTCCCTTCATGAATGTATGTAATATATAGATGAAATCGTGTTATACAGGCCTCTCCCTTCATGAATGTATGTAATATATAGATGAAATCGTGTGATACAGGCCTCTCCCTTCATGAATGTATGTAATATATAGATGAAACCGTGTGATACAGGCCTCTCCCTTCATGAACGTGTGTATGTAATATATAGATGAAATCGTGTGATACAGGCCCCTCCCTTCATGAACGTATGTAATATATAGATGAAACCGTTTGATACAGCCCTCTCCCTTCATGAATGTATGTAATATATAGATGAAATCGTGTGATACAGGCCCCTCCCTTCATGAACGTATGTAATATATAGATGAAACCGTGTGATACAGGCCTCTCCCTTCATGAATGTATGTAATATATAGATGAAACCCTGTGATACAGGCCTCTCCCTTCATGAATTGTGTGTAACTACTGTAATATATAGATGAGACCCTGAAATACAGCCCTCTCCCTTCATGAATGTATGTAATATATAGATGAAACCGTGTGATACAGGCCCCTCCCTTCATGAATGTATGTAATATATAGATGAAACCGTGTGATACAGGCCTCTCCCTTCATGAATGTATGTAATATATAGATGAAACCGTGTGATACAGGCCTCTCCCTTCATGAATGTATGTAATATATAGATGAAACCGTGAGATACAGGCCTCTCCCTTCATGAATGTATGTAATATATAGATGAAACCGTTTGATACAGCCCTCTCCCTTCATGAATGTATGTAATATATAGATGAAACCGTGTGATACAGGCCCCTCCCTTCATGAACGTATGTAATATATAGATGAAATCGTGTGATACAGGCCTCTCCCTTCATGAATGTATGTAATATATAGATGAAACCGTGTGATACAGGCCTCTCCCTTCATGAATGTATGTAATATATAGATGAAACCGTGTGATACAGGCCTCTCCCTTCATGAATGTATGTAATATATAGATGAAACCGTGAGATACAGGCCTCTCCCTTCATGAACGTATGTAATATATAGATGAAATCGTGTGATACAGGCCTCTCCCTTCATGAACGTATGTAATATATAACGGTAGATGAAACCGTGTGATACAGGCCTCTCCCTTCATGAATGTATGTAATATATAGATGAAATCGTGTTATACAGGCCTCTCCCTTCATGAATGTATGTAATATATAGATGAAATCGTGTGATACAGGCCTCTCCCTTCATGAATGTATGTAATATATAGATGAAACCGTGTGATACAGGCCTCTCCCTTCATGAACGTATGTAATATATAGATGAAACCGTGTTATACAGGCCTCTCCCTTCATGAATGTATGTAATATATAGATGAAACCGTGAGATACAGGCCTCTCCCTTCATGAATGTATGTAATATATAGATGAAATCGTGTGATACAGGCCCCTCCCTTCATGAACGTATGTAATATATAGATGAAACCGTGTGATACAGGCCTCTCCCTTCATGAATGTGTGTAACTACTGTAATATATAGATGAGACCCTGAAATACAGCCCTCTCCCTTCATGAATGTATGTAATATATAGATGAAACCGTGTGATACAGGCCTCTCCCTTCATGAATGTATGTAATATATAGATGAAACCGTGAGGTACAGGCCTCTCCCTTCATGAATGTATGTAATATATAGATGAAACCGTGAGATACAGGCCTCTCCCTTCATGAACGTATGTAATATATAGATGAAACCATGTGATACAGGCCTCTCCCTTCATGAATGTATGTAATATATAGATGAAACCGTGTGATACAGGCCTCTCCCTTCATGAATGTATGTAATATATAGATGAAACCGTGTGATACAGGTCTCTCCCTTCATGAATGTATGTAATATATAGATGAAACCGTGTGATACAGGTCTCTCCCTTCATGAATGTATGTAATATATAGATGAAACCGTGTGATACAGGCCTCTCCCTTCATGAATGTATGTAATATATAGATGAAACCGTGTTATACAGGCCTCTCCCTTCATGAACGTATGCAATACATTCATGAGACCCTGTGATACCGCAATACATTCATGAGACCCTGTGATACCGCCCTCTCCCTTCATGAACGTATGAAATATACTGAACAACAAAAGAAACGCAAGTTTCGAAAAAATGAAATCTCATGAAGGTAAGCGTTCATGTTTATGGAACGTTCATGGTAAAGTGACGTAATGATCCCAGATGAGATGATGTCATGCAATTTGACGTCCATACTAACCATTCGCACAAACACACCAACTGTGCAGGAAAACCATAATTTTAGCACGTGCATTGACGGTTCTGGATGAAAAGCATTAATTTCACTCTGAAGTATCCTTTATAAAGGTTTGTGTCAAAAAACAGTTCAGTATTGACGCTAGGAGGTGTACACGCCACACAAACGATGCCGAGACTAACGTCTAAGCAGAGGGGAATGGCCATTGGTAAGTTGCAGGGAGGTAGCTCTGCAACCACTGTAGCTAGACAATTGGGCTGTCATCTTACCACCATTACACAACTTGCTCAATGTCAGCAGTAAACCGGGTGTTGCTGCTAATTGTCCCCGTACCGGACGGCAACGAGTGACAACTCATGCACAAGATCGGTTCATCCGGGTCACTCATCTAAGGAACCGAACTCAAGCAGCAACAGTAACAGCAGCCTTAGTTCTTGGGTCAAGAGGAGCAGTGCCAAGCGATACGATTAGGCGTTGTCTTCGGGCTGCTGGAATCCACTGCCGAAGGCCATGTGTGGGGCAAATTTTGGTACGTCAACAACGCCAGCGACGTTTACAACCCTCACACAGCAAGTGCGTCAATGGATTATCTGGCTCAGAAGAACATTAACGTTTTTCCATGGCCGTCTCTTTCCCCGGATATGACTCCCATTGAACATTCTGGTACGAAATTAGACGGAGGATTGCTGCAGGTAGACAGCCAATCACACTTGCACAATTGGAATAGAGATTGGTGTTTTAGCGGAACCAATTGCCTCAAGCATTCTTTCAGACTCTAGTGAACTCAATGAGGCCACGTTGCAAGGCCTGTGTGCAAGCCCAAGGTAGCTATAAGCGCTACTAAAGAAACTGACACTTTTCGCGTTCAGGGGTATCTCCATTTGACGGACTGTGATCAATTTGAACTTATTGCAATTCATTGTCAACAGCAACTTTTAGCTGTTAAATTGACAGTGTTTTCTATAGAATAAATGATTACACATAATTTTGGTTGTCTTCCATTCAAAGATTTGACAAAAAGCCATACTTGCGTTTCTTTTGCTGTTCAGTATATATAGATGAGACCCTGTGATACCGACCTCTCCCTTCATGAACGTGTGTGATTCATGATGAGAGCCTGTGATACAGCCTCCAGTCCCTTCATGATATATGATGAGACCCTGTGATACAGCCCTCTCCCTTCATGAACGTGTGTAATATATAGATGAGACCCTGTGATACTACCCTCTCCCTTCATGAACGTGTAATATATAGATGAGAGCCATCTCCTTCATAGATGAGACCATGTGATACAGCTCTCTCCCTTCATGAACGTATGTAATATATAGATGAGACCCTGTGATACAGCCCTCTCCCTTCATGAACGTATGTAATATATAGATGAGAGCCTGTGATACAGCCCTCTCCCTTCATGAACGTATGTAATATATAGATGAGACCCTTGATACTACCCTCTCCCTTCGTGAGGACAAATAGGTGACGCAACATGCAAGCAACACAGGAGTGAGTCCCTGAGGCACCAAGATTCCCTTCAAGGACGTATGTAACATATCAAGGTGAGCCCCACAGCTTATGGAGGTGCTACCTCACAATAACACTTTTCTTCCATATGCTAGCTTGGAATCAATATCAGTGTGATTGGCAAATCACTATTGTATAATCCTTCTCTATGATCATCTGCATCGAGCCGTAATGAATTAAACGTGAAGTGAGCAGAAAGCAGTTTGAACTTGAATTGTGCTGTATGATCATTGAATCAATGTGAGCAGACTAGATTCTCTGCGTCTGTGTAGTGGCAATTAACCTTGCCAGGTCGATGAGATCAATAATCAAAATGGTGCATGTCTGCAGCTTCAATATTAAGTAAACGTCTTGTTGCACCACTCCCGTCGCATCAACTAATGACGACCATTCTGTGCTTCAGCTGATCACCATGTTAATGTTTGATTTTTGTCTGTATTAATTTCAAAAGACATTGTCGTAATGATAAGGAAGACTGTTCTGTACTGCCATGAGAGCAACCTGTGGTCAGGGTTGGCAGGAAGACAGCATGGGCCTAGAGTATACACAGGACATAGGTTCACTCTCAATCTTCACTACCCATGGGTCTTGAGGTGTATAAGGATCTAGGTATGTTCATAGAGAAAGATCTTCACTACCCATGGTTTTTCTGTGGTGTATAAGGATCTAGGTATGTTCATAGAGGAAGATCTTCACTACCCATGGTTTTCTGAGGTGTATAAGGATCTAGGTACAGTCATAGAGGAATATCTTCACTACCCATGGTTTTTCTGAGGTGTATAAGGATCTAGGTATGTTCATAGAGGAAGATCTTCACTACCCATGGGTCTTCTGAGGTGTATAAGGATCTAGGTATGTTCATAGAGGAAGATCTTCACTACCCATGGTTTTTCTGAGGTGTATAAGGATCTAGGTATGTTCATAGAGGAATATCTTCACTACCCATGGTTTTTCTGAGGTGTATAAGGATCTAGGTATGTTCATAGAGGAAGATCTTCACTACCCATGGTTTTTCTTAGGTGTATAAGGATCTAGGTATGTTCATAGAGGAAGATCTTCACTACCCATGGGTCCTCTGAGGTGTATAAGGATCTAGGTATGTTCATAGAGGAATACCTTCACTACCCATGGATCTTCTGAGGTGTATAAGGATCTAGGTACAGTCATAGAGGAATACCTTCACTACCCATGGATCTTCAGAGGTGTATAAGGATCTAGGTACAGTCATAGAAGAATACCTTGACCAGTCTATGGATTTTCTATGCTGTATTTAGTATACTGGTACTGAACAACAGAAGTATCTTTACCATCAATGTGTTTTTGTCACACTTCAAGCCCTGGAAACATGCCAGCAGATGGTGGAATTGCAATCTTTTGTGGGATAATATTGCAAACCACAGTAATTTCAAAGGCCACCTTTCCTGATTTAATTGACATAGTGTCAATCTTGGGAACTATTGCCATAATGTTAATTGCTTGGAAACTTGTTACAGAGAGATAAAAGCTATGTAGCAAATATTCCCTTGAAAGGCAGAGGGTTGGAATGTATTTACATATAAAAAGGTGTTAAACTGTCATCTGAGTTTTATCATTCCACTATGTTTACCCAGCAGTCAGTAATGATCAAGCCTTATCCAAGCAGCCTGTAAACGATGAAGCATTTGACCGAGATTTATTCTACCATCACAGTTAACAGAGGCCAAACAAATATATATTTACTGAGTCACTTCTAATAGCAGCAGCATGAGTACTCTTGTAAATATTGTAAACATACATTTTATATGCATGACTTCATTATACAAAGTTTGCTTATACTTTGGTTGATAACATCAGCAATGATCCAAAGATCATGGTATGACACCACCCATGACCGACATGGTGGATTACCCATGATCACCACAGGAAGTTCCAAAACAGTACACTCCCTGCTGATATTGTGGATTACCAAGGATCCCCACAGGAAGTTCATAAACAGTACACTCCCTGCTGATATTGTGGATTACCCACGATCACCACAGGAAGGGCCAAAACAGTACACCCCCTGCCGATATTGTGGATTACCCACGATCACCACAGGAAGTTCCAAAACAGTACACCCCAAGCCGATATTGTGGATTACCCACGATCACCACAGGAAGTTCCGAAACAGTACACTCCAAGCCGATATTGTGGATTACCAAGGATCCCCACAGGAAAAGACAAAACAGTACACTCCCTGCTGATATTGTGGATTACCCAGGATCCAAACAGGAAGGGCCAAAACAGTACACCCCCTGTCGATATTGTGGATTACCCAGGATCACCAACAGAATGGGCCAAAACAGTACACCCCCTGCTGATATTGTGGATTACCCAGGATCCGAACAGAATGGGCCAAAACAGTTCACCCCCTGCCGATATTGTGGATTACCCAGGATCAACACAGGAAGGGCCAAAACAGTACACCCCCTGCCGATATTGTGGATTACCCAGGATCCCCACAGGAAGGGCCAAAACAGTAACCCCCTGCCGATATTGTGGATTACCCAGGATCCCCACAGAATGGGCAAAAACAGTACACCCCTGTCGATATTGTGGATTACCCAGATCACCAACAGAATGGGCCAAAACAGTACACCCCCTGTCGATATTGTGGATTACCCAGAATCCAAACAGAATGGGCCAAAACAGTAATCCCCCTGCTGATATTGTGGATTACCCAGGATCTGAACAGAATGGGCCAAAACAGTAATCCCCCTGCTGATATTGTGGATTACCCAGGATCTGAACAGAATGGGCCAAAACAGTACACCCCCTGTCGATATTGTGGATTACCCAGAAACCGAACAGAATGGGCCAAAACAGTACACCCCCTGTCGATATTGTGGATTACCAAGGATCCCCACAGGAAGTTCCAAAACAGTACACTCCCTGTCGATATTGTGGATTACCCAGGATCTGAACAGAATGGGCCAAAACAGTACACCCCCTGTCGATATTGTGGATTACCCAGAAACCGAACAGAATGGGCCAAAACAGTACACCCCCTGCCGATATTGTGGATTACCCACGCTCCCCATAAGAAGGGCCAAAACAGTACTCCCTTGCCAGTATTGTGGATTACTCAGGATCTGAACGGGAAGCCTATCCTCTCAAACATCTACTTCCATTTCACACATATACTTACAACTTGGCCTCATACTCCTTCCAGGCCTTGTCAAATGGTTTCTTCAGGTCACCCTTGACCCCTTTCAGGTCGCCCTTCAAGAACTGGTCCAGCGGGAACAGCATGATGTTGTGGAGGGACTGCATCTGGAATAAAGGTCAAGGTTAACTTTAAAATCTCCAAATGCAGCCTATCAATCAATAGGTATCTAGAGGGCCGGGGAGAGGGCAGGGGAGAGGGCAGCTAAGGATATCAGGTCATCAGCAACCTATACTGGTCATGGAGGCAGTTAAATGTGTGGTGAGACTCAGTGACTTGTAGACAACTAGTCTCTGAAATGAACATATTTTACAGAAAAAAAAGTTCATAGTAAAAAAATAAAATATAATGAAATGTAATTTTGGAGTAAAATTGATATTTTATACTTATCCTGACTCATGCTCTTTTGCTTGTCTTCTTCTTCTTGCTAACATAGTGGAACACTTGTATCTCCCTAATTGAAGCTCCCTTCAATTTAAAAATCACTAATTAGTATTCACCACGAAGCTACCTCCTTTCCACAAGCTGAACGAGGGCTTCACCTCTACCCATGTGCCTCACTCTCTCCTCATATACTGAGCCCAACATTTGAATTTACAGGGAAATCCAAAGTGTTATTTGGGAGGATGGGAGGGCTGACCTCATGAGTCAGGATAAGTATAAAATATCAATTTTACTCCAAAAATTACATATTTTTCCTTATCCTGACTCATGCTCTTTTGCTTGTAGCATCCTAATGGAACGGAGGTGGGAATATCTAATACTTTGGATTTTTAATAATTAGTGATTTGAACTGTGATGATTGTAATAACCCTATGGGAACTTCATAAAGGCACTGAATTGATGAATTCCTGCTGCTAACTTATCAGCTGCCATATAAAAGGTTATTACCATGTACTTATTATGATAAAGTATATATAACATTAATACAATGCTTAAGACTAATAGACTTAAGCTTGTTAATATGCTAGTATAAACTCCTTAGAGTTTGTTAGCTAAAATACTTTAAGATATAACATAGTACTAAGCTTAAGATATGATTAAACTTAAGCTAATTATATAATAGCAAACTCTTTAGAGTTTGTTAGTTAATATACTTATATGATATAGATATAATGCTGAGCTTAAGATATGAATAAGCTTTAGCTACATATATAATAGCAAAACTCTGTAGAGTTTGTTAGCTAATATATTTTATAATATGAGTATAGTACTGTGCTTAAGCTATAATTAACTTAAGCTACATATATAATAGCCAAACTCTGTAGAGTTTGTTAGCTAATATATTTTTATAATATGAGTATAGTACTGTGCTTAAGCTATAATTAACTTAAGCTACATATATAATAGCCAAACTCTGTAGAGTTTGTTAGCTAATATATATTTATAATATTAGTATAGTACTGAGCTTAAGATATAATTAACTTAAGCTACATATATATAGCAAAACTCTGTAGGGTTTTGTTAGCTAATATATTTTTACAATATGAGTATAGTAGTGTGCTTAAGATATAATTAACTTAAGCTACATATATAATAGCAAAACTCTCAGAGAGTTTGTTAGCTAATATATTTTACAATATGAGTATAGTAGTGTGCTTAAGATATAATGAACTTAAGCAACATATATAATAGCAGAACTCCGTGAGAGTTTGTTAGCTAATATATTTTACAATATGAGTATAGTATTGTGCTTAAGATATTATTAACTTAAGCTACATATATAATAGCCAAAAAAAAACTCTGTAGAGTTTATTAGCTAATATGTTTATAGTGTAACCATAGTACTAAGCTTATAGTACTGAGCTTAAGTTATGATGAAACTTAAGCTATATATATATAATAACAAAACCTCACGAAGTTTTGTTAGCTAATACCTTTATAATGTAACCATACTGCTTAAGATATGATGAAAACTTAAGCTAATTGTATAATAGCTTAAAACAACCCTTTAGAGTTTGTTAGCTATGATATAAACCTAGTATTGAGCTTATGAAGGAAAACTTAAGCTACATATATAATAGCAAGAACTCCGTGAGAGTTTGTTAGCTAATACATGTTATAATGTAACTATAAAGCTTAAAATATGATGAAACTTAAGCTTAAATATATAATAGCAAAACCCTCTTTAGAGTTTTGATAGCTAATATACCTATATGATATAAACATAGTACTGCTTTTAAGATATGAATAAGCTTAAGTTACATATATAATAGCTAAAACTCTGTAGAGTTTGTTAGCTAATACATGTTATAATATAACCATATTGCTTAGAAATATGATGATACTTAAGCCAAATAGCAAAAACTCTTTAGAGTTTGTTAGCTAATCTACTTATATGATATAAACATAGTACTAAGCTTAAGATATGAATAAGCTTAAGCTACCTATATAATAGCAAAACTCCTTAGAGTTTGTTAGCCAATATATTTTAATAATATGAGTATAGTACTATGCTTAAGGTATAATTAGCTTAAGTTACCTATATAATAGTAAAACTCCAGAGAGTTTGTTAGCTTAATTAACTTAAGCTATGTATAAAATAGCCAAAAACTCTGTAGAGTTTGTTAGCTGATGCATTTATCATGTAACCATAATATTACTCTTAAGATATGAATAACTTAAGGTAAATATATATAATAACAAACTCTGTAGAGTTGTTAACTTATATATTGTATGATGTAATAATCATAGTACTGTGATGATAAAAGGAACTTAAGTAAATTATATATAGCATGAAGCTATTTAGTATTGTTATAAGATAAGTAAAAATCTGTTAGATTGACTTATCTTCTCCGAGGAACTGTCAGCTGTTGTGCGAGGACCATGGGATCGAATTGGTGTATACCTGAGACGCCCTCGGTGGTGATATCTCTCAGATAATGGTTTGCAACCACCATATCGATCTCCAGAAATAAACCCTCCAATATTTCAATCACATTTGTGTGGAACAATTGTAGAAGTTAGCTTATAATATCATGAGTATTAAGCTCATGGAGGGTCGGAATAGGTCCATCCGCATATGCACGTAGTATGACAGTTCTGATCCAAATGGAGATATAGTACATGAGACTTCTCTCTGCGTAGTTGATGATAGAGAAATAATCTGTTGCATTTTTTACTCCTGTTTGGTTTGGTGGAGATAAATTTACAGTGCTCTTGCTGGCCATCTTGATAGAATCATCGTATCATGGGGTCCAAGTATGTCATCCAGGCGTGTTCATAAACCTCACTTGTGAGGTGTTGGAGCACTATATTCATATCCCCAGGTTGGGCGGAAATTTCCGCTTATTCTCCAAACAGAAGTTTAGTAGGTTTACTAACCATCTAGTTGTGTTAGTCGCTTGATGAAATTCAGCTGTAGTCTGAAACGCTGTGGATTTAGATCCACTTGTATCTTCGCCTAGGTAATTCGCCATAAGTCCTTTGACGATGTAGGTGCACAACCAGGTGTGTCTGTCCTCGCTGAACTTTATGTAAAATCGCCTGACTGCCGATCCCTCGCCTTAACTTGACAGGGAGGTCTCTATCTTGAAGAAAGGCAGTCTAATCATGAATGTTCAGGTTAACTGGACTGTAATGAGGCTTGCTCGCTCACTGATATATAGTTGTCACTTGTGACGTAAGTCTTGAACTGTGAATAGAGATCGACCTCTGTGTAGGTCGTTGTCCCTCGCGGTCCAATCAGAACAAGGCATTTTGATTCTGTATAATACCCGCTGTGATGTCACCGTGTAGCGGAAAACCCACCTTGAATAAATTCTTGTCGCCGCTGATATTAGCATAAACGCCGGTCTTCACCGTAGCTTCCCGGTTATCCGAAAGTGACCACGGTTTCGAGGGTTAATGGTAACCGCTGAAACCTCCGCCAAATATCTCGCTTCTGTAATTTTATGCTGGGTAGGTTATTTTCCTGGTTGTCGAAAGTAATTTCAGTTTTGAATATAATTCACTTCCTTATATATATAGGGTATAAACAACTTGCAAGTTGTGAGCTTGTAGACTGTATACATGAATGTATCGCCATAATTGTAGAATTAACGCTGAACTTGTTGTACATATTTCTTCTCAGAAACTTTGACGATTAAGAGTTATACTCGCTGTAACAAGGCTGCTGTTCAATTTCGATATTGAATTGTTCGCAGATATGCGTAATGGTCACGCATGTAGATAATCGTATCGTCGTCCGGGATTGTATATTAGCAATTTATAATGAATAGTTGATTTCTGTGAAGATCTATGAAATGTCGCTGACTAATAATACAGCGACGCTCTGTGTTGTAAATAGCCTGAGCAATTATCTTCGCAGAGGGCTTATAGATCGGCATCTGGCATACAGTTGATAATCAACTTATGCGACGCCTTGAACGGACTGACGAAAGTAGCTATATATGACGAAAGTGGCTAGTATATGGAAACCTTGGAGGAGACTTCCTCGTGAACGCCGAGACTTCGCTAAGTTCTCGGCATCCCTTCTAGATCTTCTGGGTGAAGTAGACTTGAGTTACTTTAGCCTTCGCGACCATCGCTAAGGTGTCGAGTCAAAGCCCGATTAGTATATATATATATATATATATATATATATATATGAGCTTTGTTTCGCGGAACAGCCTCTGTGTTTAACAGGATGTGGATCGGGCTAAGCTTTGCCTAAGTATGGTCGCATGGATCATCTTATCATATTCAGAAGTCGTGGTTACTTAAGTCTGGTGATAAGTGTCTAATTGATCGCTCTAGATCTATTTAGGCCAGCTTAACATACGCCTCGGCCATGGATTCAACAGAACCAATATACGATTGTAGTTCTTATACTTGATATCGATGATCAACTTGTCTATGGGTTGATCTTCTCGAGACTTGTGAGGGGAACGCTGATAGTTTCGCTGGGCTCTTGTATAGTCCCTCGATGTCCTTCTAGATGATGATGATCTGATTCAGGTGTCTCATATGCCTTCGCTGGCTTCCTCTGCGTCCCGTCCGGGGAACGACGATATGACCTTCGCTGGGCTTCCGTGATGTCTGATGGTCCGAGTCCACATCTAGGGATGAAACCGCATAAGGTGATGATTCGATCCTGCCTTCGCTAAGTCCTTCGCGCTGTACATCTAGGTTCTTTCCGCCTTCGCGCTGGCTGTACATCTAGGTCCTTTCCGCCGCCAAGGGCCTTCGCTAAGGCTGTACATCTAGGTCCTTCGCCAAGGTGGTCCGCGGACTTCCTTCGCCGGCGGTGACATCGCCCTGGCTGCTACGCTGACGGGGTGCCTCTGGGTGTTGTTCACGCTTGGAGCCTTCGCTGGTTGCTCGACCCTGCTACCGCAGATATTGGTCCTCCATGATGTTCATAATTTGTCGATCATGTCTTCTGGGATGGTCTGCGACGCAGGTCGCCGGTGCTTTATCTGGCGTGTTAATGGAGGGGTCCACCGAAAAATCGTCCGACATCAGTGTAGAGGCATCAGGCTGCATGGTGATCTCTGCTGATGTCGCTGTAGCTGTCCCCGGTCGCTTCTTGTATGCACGCCGGGATGATGATCAGCTGATCATCGAGAGGTCCAGGTCATCGGCTGGAACAATCTCGCTGAGAAAGTCCTAGTAGACTTCGCTGATTTTCCTCAGAGGTCGACGCTGCCCTGGGTGCGCGACGCCTGGCGCTGAGTGTTGGTAATGATGGGACCCTCAGGACGATCATCGCGATATCTGCGCTTGGTACATCAGGCTGCATGCTGATCTGTGCCGACATCGGTCAATCTTTGATGTACATCCGTATGATGACCGGCTGATCATCATACAGGCCCAAACTTCGATGGGAACGGTCTCGGGTTGTTGAGATGTAGTAGAAAACCCTCTAGTCTTCTGCTGCGACGATGGGATGTCTGGGGAAGCAGAATGCTTCTTGAGATGGCGGACTACGCCCCACACCTCTCCACCACTCTAGCGAAACACCACACGGAGGGGAGTCGGCCAACAGCAGTAGACTGGCGAGGGTTCCGTATCAGTCATACTAGACTCTGCATACGCCACCTATCTGCTGTGCGCGCAAACGCAAAGTAAATATTAATAAAGAGGTAGAATTGATAAATTAGTACCGCGAACTGCAATGTGAATATAATAAACATGGCTACCGCATATCATATTAAAGGTGGATCAGCAGCAGCATAAAAACGAATCTGCAATAGTACAGAATTTTCATCAACGTAATCCACTGAAACAAACACGGGCGGCCCCGTGAATAAACTGTAGAAAACGACTAAATATCAATATATAATCGCTGAAGGATACTAGCTAAACCTCTATAGATGTCTATACGAGGTAACTAACTAAATATAATCAAAGGATATAGTGTGTCGGAGACACAGGCGCTCACGCCCAGCCCAGCTCACTGGGCTAAGAAGGAGAGAGTGAGGCACATGGGTAGAGGGTGGCTCTCTCGCTCCCCGCTTGTGGAAAGGAGGTAACTCGTGGTGAATACTAATTAGTGATTTTAAATTGAAGGGAGCTTCAATTAGGGAGATACAAGTGTTCCACTATGTTCGCAAGAAGAAGAAGACAAGCAAAAAAAGAGCATGAGTCAGGATAAGGAAATGAGCAATCATGGATGCCTATAAACTATGGTGGGTGTTATCACTTTAATTATAACAGATGATGTCTGGCTGGCTGGAACAGGTCCCTTACATCCAAACACACCAAACCCAAACAAGCATAAATGACTGACACGTTATTTATTTTTCTCAACAGTTAAGGAATGTTCAGTGATAGGTGTATGTGTGAGTCTGGTAGTCATCTATCCTGAGGAGAGAAAACAGATTTTCTGCTTTTCAAACTGTAGGTTTCATAGAATTCATCTTTTATATCATTGGGTATTGGTTAACTAAATCACCGGTAGATGGCTGGGAAATGTAAGATGAGCTGCTTGTTATTTCCAGCTCTATATACGAGACACATACACACAGTAATCTTAATCCCTGCATATAATCCAATGCCCAGCAAAAACAAATTAGAGCTGAAAAGGTAAATAATCTTGGTGATTTTTAATTGAAAATTTGACGTCTTCACTGACAAAGTCGTTTGGTCTTGTTTGTTCACGCGAGGCGATACAATGTTTTCCTTCCACCAGAAAAAACGTTTGACGAAAGTGTAGCCTGTAGATAAGCCGACCCCCTTCTAAGGACTGCTTAGTTGGTCCTCAAAATTAGACTTATCTACGGTCAGTTATAGTTATTAGTTATATTTGTGAGAGAGTTTGGCTTAATGCCAGACAGAACAGATCATCTCAGTTTGTCATAATGTGGGATGAAAGCCTAAACAAAGCAGGTGAAACCTGGAATTATAATCAGGGGAAACTGGATTCGAACCCAAGACCATTGGTTTCTGACAAACAAAGGGCACAAGTCTGAACTGTATAATTGCACACAGTTGGACCACCAGCGCCCTCTATGTTTGAGTGCAAGCACATGAAACATAGTCAGTGAAAACAACTCGTCCCCTTTACTTGGATGCCAGGAAGCAGCTGGGGCCGAGTGTGACTTAACAGGAAGTTGTAGCAAATCCACTTTGATTTGTCGTGTATCATGTCAGCTCACATGTATCATCACTTTAGGCTGGACAGTGTGTGTACACATACACAAGACTACGAGGACTTTATCACAGAATGGACGCCTTTATCTATTCATGCAATACAAATATGTTTGTCTTATCATCAGTGTCCAGGTATCATGTGTCGCTAAGGCATCACATGTGTAATCAAAACATTACCTGGATCATCAAGACATCACCTGTGTCATTAAAACATTACCTGGGTCATCAAGACATCACCTGTGTCATCAAAACAATACCTGGGTCATCAAGACATTACCTGTGTCATCAAAACATTACCTGGGTCATCAAGACATCACCTGTGTCATCAAAACATTACCTGGGTCATCAAGACATTACCTGGGTCATTAAATTATTACCTGGGTCATTAAATTATTACCTGGGTCATTAAAACATTACCTGGGTTATCAAGACATTACCTGGGTCATTAAAACATTACCTGGATCAATAAAACATTACCTGCGTCATCAAGAAATTACCTGCATCATCAAATTGGCTTACGTTTGGTGAATTCCCATGATATTTTAAAAAACTCAAGTCAATGGTGTAAACTATCAGGCTGGACTTGAAATCAGTATGCATTTCTGTCGAATGACATGCAACAAGGCCAATAACCTTGCAGAAACTTCTCAATACATAACAATATCTGAAACTGTTTGATATAAAATCATATGCAGTTCAATCCCAGATTTACAAACTCACCAAATTTTTCATCATGGATGCCAGTTCTTTGGTGACATGAGAAAACTTCATAAAGGCAGCACCTGAGGGACAGAAACACATCAGGAGTGAATAAGAATTAGAAACAGAGCTAACACTTTTCAAGACTTTGTTCCGCTAATGGCTATTAGTTAGGTGTTATGGTATTCTTTGGAGGATACAGAGCCAGGAGGGAGGACGCAACATTTGTCAAGGGGCATGTAATCAGTAACTCTGAGTTGATGTAGTTATTCTACACTTAGTTATTCTACACCAAGTTATTCTACACCAAGTTATTCTACACCTAGTTATTCTACACTTAGTTATTCTATACCAAGTTATTCTACACCTAGTTATTCTACACCTAGTTATTCTACACCTAGTTATTCTACACCTACAGACATGCAGGCGAGAAATTCCTGCAAAGCTTTGCTGACCACTTAAAGAGAAATCAGCCTTGTCGATCAAGCGTTGGAAAAACAGTGTACAACAATGCTTTAATAAGATCTTGTGTAGCTGAGGACTACTTTGTACGCCATCAAAATCAAGGAAAAACATCAGTAAATAAGTATGAGGCTTTTTCTCATATATTTTTCATACAAACTAGCATCTGTGCTAGTATATACTATTGAAGGATTTGTTTCACACAAAGCACGAACGTTTGTACATATACCATATTTCACTGTCTGAAGAACGAAAGAAAATTTGTGATGCAATGTTTTTCATCTGAAGGTAGTTCTTGATTAGTTGACAACAAAACGGGCAGGTCTTGTGTTGCACTTGTACACTTAGCGACCTCACTGATCAGTAATATTGTCTACTCTGGGCCTGTTAATGAGTACATTAAAGCAGTCTGTGAAGCAATAATTGTTGATATATTTATCTATAGACTTTAATAAATAGGAGGGGGAGTTGAATCTATGGATGTCAACTTCTGTTGCATGATGATCACATACAACATCAACATGGACATGACAACTATGTTGACATCCACAACATTTCCCTCTTTGTGTAGAACTTTTAACTGCCACTGAAAGATTTTGACTTCAATACGTACTTGTGCTGATCAGACCATGAATGTGAAAACACATGTGCTATAGGTCAGTAATCATAGAAATAGAGGTTACTCAACGACCTTCCGTGTAATACCAATTTTATTAAATAAGTTAATGATTTGGTATCAAACGAAGCGAAAGCGAATTGAATACTAAATCTTTCATGAGTAATAAAATGGTATTTCACGGAAGCGAGTTTAGTATTCTGTTTATTACTCTAGAAACATAAACTGATAGAAACTGCCTACAGTGTGATGACTCTCATATCAATTTTCCACAAGTCAAGCAAGGTCTACATGCCATTGCCACAGAGGCATTGGCATTTTGACATAAAAAATGTAACCATTATGACGTCATGTGTCTAGGGGTATTACACTAGTGTAATATTGCCGTAAAAATATTAAACTACAGTATCTTCCGAGGGCGAGTAATAAAAGTAAAATATCTAATGTACCTTGGCCTGATCTATGTACAACATGCGAGTGGAAAGAGGTCATTCTGACCACCAATAAACCAAGATGATGTTTATTCTTACTGGCCCAGTACAGTAAACACCACCATTCCTAGCCAAACCAACTTAGCCTTCATACATGGTCAGTCTGGAAAGTGTGTCAGTGAGGAAGGTGAAGATTATCGTGTCTACAGCCTGACACCAGTATCCCACTGATAATATATCCCAGTATGATGGATCACTCCATGGCAGACTCAGAAGGTAACATGACATTGGTCTATAATGGATGTTCCTGACAACTGTGGAATACAATGACAATAAATGACATTCAGTCTGACCACCACTGGAATACAATGACAATAAATGACATTCAGTCTGACCACCACTGCACCAAGAGGGTTCCATTCTGTAGAGTGAGTGAGTGAGTGAGTGAGTGAGTGAGTGAGTGAGTGAGTGAGTGAGTGAGTGAGTGAGTGAGTGAGTGAGTGAGTGAGTGAGTGAGTGAGTGAGTGAGTGAGTGAGTGAGTGAGTGAGTGAGTGAGTGAGTGAGTGAGTGAGTGAGTGAGTGGGGTTTTACACCGCTTTTAGCAATATTCCAGCAATATCACCACACCAGAAATGGACTTCACACATTGTGCCCATGTGGGGAATTGAACCCGGGCCTTCGGTGTGATGAGTGAACGCTTTAACCACTAATCTACCCCACCACCCGATAGATAGATAGATAGATAGATAGATAGATAACTTCAAGGCGAACAGCTTCCAAACAGAGAACACTTGTCTTATATGGAATGTAAACAATTGTTCCGTACACTGAAAACTGTCGCGTGCGGTGTCAGTCGGTGTTTGACGAACTGGTTACAATCACAAGTTGTGCAAAGGCCATATTCATGAAGAACGCTCCTAGGGACATAACTCTATGGGGTTGAAATAATGTTCTTCTGGGTAGAGTTGATTTAATGCAACGTTGCATTTAATTCATTCAAACTTTTTAATTTAATTTAATATTGTAATCTAATTACATAATTTTTTTAAACAAATTATATGGTAGCTTCCCTGAGGGCTGATAGTATTATTGAGATAAATACATTATTCATCTTTAGAGAAGTGTGATGTGACATAGTGCCTTTAAGCACAAACTTTGTAACATCAAGGAGTGGGAAACCAGAGATATTGTACCCTGGGAAAACAAAAATTCCATGCTACCTTCATAAACAAATACAACAAACAGCCCTCACTGTGGAAATAGTATATTCATACATTTAAACTTACTTCCTTCTAAATATTAATGTCTTGAGATGAATGATATGTATTGACACTTTGTGTTCATACACAATTCATGAGCAGCACTGTAGTCAGAGATGAATACCTACTATTCCAACATAACCAAGCATGTGTGCTGTACGGAGGTCAACACAATCACTCTCTGCACAGATACATTGCTACTGCAGCATACACTTCATACAATCTACATGTTAAAAATTCCTGGAGGATTACAACCCGGAAATTGTTAGCTGTGATCTTTTCAATAAATATACATGAACCCAACACCAATCTGCAAAATCTCCCAGCCATAAAAAGAGTAGAACAGTGAACCCAAACAATGCTACACCAACATTTTCAACAAAAGCACAAAAATGTACTGCAGCAAGGAAAATGTGGATATCATTTTACACTGGCCATTTCCAATGAATACAAATTCTGCTATTGATAATGCACAGCCATATGTGACCTTGTCCTCATACTAGAGTCATAGCTTTCTTTCACTTCCTTGTCATAAACCACCTTCTACTTGCTAATTAATCAGGGCGAAAATGTACTGCTTTAATTATTAACAACAATATACAGGGCTGTTCACAGGGCGGTAACAGTGGTCAAACCACATCCGAGCAGCGCATAGGGAAATTAATTCATAGCTTTTAAAATTGGTAAGCATTGACAGGCCTTTTTTCATAGGGCAAAAATAAGAACTTACAAGATAAACTATAATATTTCTGTATGATATAAATAATTATTAAGGAAGAGAATTTATAAAATTGCTCAGCAATCTGTCCAAATTGTTCACATATATCCTTCAGATTAATATATGTTATATTTTTTATAATTTCTTTAAATAGACAATTTCACTGGAGTGTCCTGTGATATCAAACATGTTAACACAAGTGTACATATTATATATCAGTGAGTGGATATTGCATCAGCAATTTTGCAGCTAGCATTTGATGTCACATGCTAGAAAACCCAGCTAATCAACTTCAATGGCCAAGATATCTAAGAATGATGTCTTGGTAAGACTGTAGAATATTCTTCAAAGTATAGTACTACAATTCACCGGAGAAGTATCTCCTACATATTTGATATGCCTTGATCTCATCAAAGCAATATGTCTTGAAGGATTTGTTTATGAGAAATGTTTTTTATCACCCAACTGAATGGTTAATTACAGTATGAAATGTTTCTTCCACTTTACCGTCATGCAGCCAGGAAACACAGAGCATTTACTGCAACCAATATGGTGACAGTTCTACTGAAGTCATTACTGATAATTCAGGAAGTAATACTTCCCTACTGTTATAAAATATTTAGGCGTGGATCCATTTGATATTACATATTCACTATAAGCACCATTCAAACTACTAGACACAAAAAACAGCAAACCCCCAAATTACAGTCACAAGCAACAGACATTTGGAGACTGACTGACTGAGTATGGTTTTACGCCGCTTTAAGCAATATTACAGCAATATCACGGCGGGGGACACCAGAAATGGCTTCACACATTGTACCCAAGTAATTGAACCAACATCTTCAGCGTGATGAGCAAACGCTTTAACCACTAGGCTACCCATCACCTCACAGTATTAAAGTCATAGGTGACAAAGTGATGGAGACAAGTTCTCACAATACAGATTGTGGACAGAGGTTTGGAAGATAAAGGGTATAATAATCATATCATACTGGAGATATTGATACCCACATAACATACAGGAGATATTGATACCCAGAATAGCTTACGTAAATGGAGGGTCTCAGAACAAGGACTGCATGACATGTTTTGTTGTCAACTGCCATCACAAATGGCAAAAGCACTAGTGGATCGAGGGTATGGACTGTGAAAATTGTTTTCATCAAATAATACTGGTGCAATTCTAATTTCATATACCACCTGCCATTTAACACAATTAGTAAGCTTACAGTTCTGTCTTCACACAGAAACATTTTCTTTTCTCCCTGGAGCCTCCGTCCAAATAATAGCAATTACAACACTGACCACAAACAAAATGTAATTACACGCTACAGGGTTTGGTAAATATTACAAAGTGCCACACTCTCATTCTCTGCCTCGAAATATCTCTGAGTACAGTAGACAATCAGTGGATCTCTCATTAAGGTCCGATCCACTGCTGACATATCTCCATAAATCATGCATGAAATAGGCCACAGGAGAAGGGTATTGACTACTTCAGTGACAGGCTCTCACTCAGCTGCCTTGGGCTGGACACACACAGAGCTGTGGAGCCCCATACCATGAATTCCTTCACAGATCAATTTATGCAGC